TCTGATGTTTCTTCTGCTTCCAATTCAACTCAATGTCGCTTCTTATTCTGTTTCTTCCAAACAACCACTGATTGATTGGAGTCTGACTCAAAATCAGGTCTCATGGAGAGCCGGGAGTCAGAGGGAGTGGCCACCATGCCTGCAGATTGTCAAAGAGGGGTAACTCGGGTGCTTCGACACGAGTTTGATGGGGTGTTTGGTGGAGAAAATGATAATGGATTGACCGGAGAGGTTTATGATTTATTTGGACGGTGAAGGAAAGACATTTCAAAAAGATCAGACTGAGGATGGGGATTGGAAGTCTAAGATAGAAAGATAAAAAGAAAAACTGGTGAATGTTTCAATAACTATTAGAATTTGAAAGTGCTTGGAATAGACTTACCAAGTCTTCATGTGAGGGGTCAACCACCTCCTGGCCGATTGAATCTGATCCAGACCACAGCTTGGCCCATCGAGTGACATATGGGAACCAAAAGATCCCTTGCTGCCGTGGTGGAGTTGTCGTTTGCATAGTAGTTAAGTATTAGCTTTGAATGGAAAATATGAAAGACTAAGGAAAGGGGTAATTAATGTAATTGAAAGCTAGATGCCCCTCCAGCCTGACTTTGACAGACTGAATTAGGTCCGGTTGGAGCAAATACACAGGGATGCAATACTACAGATACCGCAGGATACTACAATACCATGTACACCTCAGATCGGGTATCATATTGGTTTTGTGATACAATACCCGATATGTATTGGGTACCCTGATACCACGGGACTGGACAATGGTGGAAATATCGTATCTTTGATATGATATACCTCCATATGATACCCACCCAACCAGATACAATACCAATACAGTATCGAATGGGTATTGTATCTGTGTCTGCGTTGTTGCCATTCCCGCTACCAGCACTCCTTCTGAAGGAGCCTTTAGTAAGACTAAATCTATTGTATCAGCTCAACAAGCTTCTCTAGCTCCTATCAGTGTGGAAATTGGGCCAATGTATTTCCCTCATAAATTTAACACAGTACAAAACCTTATTCAGATTTATGATGAAGACAAAGAATGAACAATATGTTTTTTCCTTATATTTCTAACTTATTTTTACTATGACATCTTGACTTTGTTGGTCCCTTGACTTTTTTGGCATAAATCTTTTGGTTTCAAAACCCCGCAGGCAACCTGCAGTTTGGGTGGCTTGTTACATATGTCCTCCACGCCCCTACCCTTTGAGGTCCCCTGACTTTTTTGAGCCAAAAAACCCTGACCAAACCCGTGCTCCGCAGGGGCCGGGAACGGGCACCCATTGGGGCATTGGGTCTGGTGCTCATCCTGAATTGAATTATCAGCAAACTCCTAGTGCAGGTCTGTCAAGAATTAGAGATACCAACAGGGCTCCAACAACTTTATACCATTCCGATTACAAACATAAAGAATTGTATCCTATCAAGGGTGCAAAGGGTTGCCAGATTGAGGAAAACTTCTGTTTTATGTATGGAACTTGGGATGGGAATGTAAAGCAGGACCTACTTGTAAATGGATCATTAAATGTCTTGGTGACATTTTTTCCCTCATTTTTTACATATCAATCTCTCTGTCATCTTGATAGAGGCTTTTGTCTTGGCCTGAGGCTAATATTGAAGTTAGAATTCCAGCATTTACTTGAATGTTGTGCGGCACACCAAGGATGCAATCACCCCTGAGGAGTATGTTTCTTTGAGGCTATCAATGGGATGAAAGTACAGTATCTGTATTTTCATCAGCTATTGAATCAAGTAGATATGCACATCCTTTGTCAGATACCCCTTTGCTAGAAGAAGATATTGACACTTGTTTTATTCTTAAGCAGTATTGTTTGTATGCAAAATCAACACACCAATCAACATGGATAAAATGGAATCACTGCTTCATCAGCATCCAAATCAGGTGTTTGTAAGATTGGCCATAAAAGGTTTGAGAGAAGGTTTTTGGCCATCTTCATCACTTCCATCATCTGATGTTTTTGATGTCAAAAATCATGTCACCTGTTTTGAAAATCAAGCATTCTCAGAAGAACAGTGTCAGGAAGAAATTGATAAGGGTTGTTTTTCTGAAGAATTCTCAATTTTGCTTCTGGATGAAGGTGATACCTTTGCTAATGACATCTGAAAAGGAGTCTAGGAAGATGAGAGTCTGTTCAAATATGAGTGTTGTCAGACCTTCTCCAAATGATTTGATTGGCATAAACTACATTGTAGTATCATATGACTTATTGAAATCTTTTGCTCTGTATGCAATTAAAATGAAGAAGAAACACAAGGACGTGGTGATATTCAAATCTGATATCAAGGGAGCATTTATAATCATTCCACTTCATCTTCAGTATCAAATTAGGCAAATTTTGAAAATCAAGAAAAAGTTTAGAGCTGATCATAATTTAACTTTTGGTTCATCAGCGTGTCCACACATATGGTGTGGAGTATTTTCATTGGTTCTCTGGATAACAGAGGAAGTCTTTCACATCAAAATGTTAAACAACATGATGGATGACATTTGGTCAGTCACACCAGCAAATGGCTTTGTTACGTTTAAAGGACATCAAATACCTTCTATGCAATCAAAAATGTTAATGATTTTGGGTATCTTAGGTTTTCCATGGGTTTGGAAGAAGCAGTTGCATGTTCATGTGATAGACACCAAAAATTTTTAATTTACTTTGCTCCGGATAAGAAACCGCTAAAGATTGATGTCATTAAGGATTTTTTGGTTGGCCTAAGCAACCTCTAAGAGCTTTGAAATAATTATAAGTTTGGGTTAATTGGGGGTGTAATTCAATTCCATCTGGGTGTTTTGCATTACAGAGTCTCTACAAGAAAACAGGGGGTAAATCTAAATGGTTTTTGCAAATCTATCTCAACAAGGAAAATCAGGCCAATCTCAGGTGGCTCATTGACTATTTCACTGGTTGTGATGGAGTTAGGATGTTGGAAGCCATTAAATGGTCAATTGCGGAGGTGGAATGATTTAAAATCTCTATCTATTAAAGACTATCTATGATCTTTTTCTCTTTTGACTAAAGCTAAGTACAAATCAGGTTTTAGGGTTTTTTTCAAATTTTGTGATTTATTCAACACTCTGTTTTATGCAGATGAGAAGACTTTGATGTGGTACATTTCTTATCTGATCCGTTTAATATCGCCTTGTTCAGTAAGGATTTATTTAACAGGCATCAAGTATAATCTTAACATCAAATTTACATCCATGATTTGTGACACGGATTTGGTATTGGTAAAAGAGGTTATGAAGGGTTGTATCAATGGGTTTTCTAAGCCGGTCAACGGGACAAAACCATTAACAGTATCTCAAATCAAATTAGTTGTTTTGCAGTCATCTTCATCTCATGAAAACAGTTTGTTCTTAGCTATTTTAGCTGTGGGGTCTGGAGGCTTACACTGGTTGGGAGAGCTTACAATTCCTGATTCTTCAAAGCTTTTTGATGTTAGGAAGGCTGTTACTTGAGCATCTTTGAAATTTTCAACATGCTTCCGTTATTTTCAATATTGACTACCTTATTCTAAAGGCAACAAGACATTTTTAGGAGCTCTGGTTATTATTCAACACTTTGATAATTCAATTGCTTGTCCAGTATCTCTTACAAAATCTTACTTACAGTCTAGAGATGCTTTGTTTGTCTCTTCACCAGCTTTGTTTTTCATGTCTGAAGGTCTATCTCCATCGCAATGTTAGTCCCCAAGAGATTTCACAAGTTTTTTGACAAGACTTTTTCAGGACATTCCTTACAATCTGGAGGTGCTACTACTTTAGCTCAGTCCAGTTTTTCTTTAGAATATATCAAAAGTGCTGGGCGCTAGTCTTCAGAGGTGTTTTTAATAAATATATGTGGTCATGCAGCTCTCTGTTTACTGGAAGCACAAAATCACATTGTTGCACATGATTCTCACACGGATGCAAATCTTGTTTTTGTATAGTAAGTTTTTTATATTTTATTGGTGGGCTTACATGCTTGTTATCACATATATATAAAATATTTTTCACAGGTTTAGTTTCTTTTGGAAACTGACATATTGTTTGACTTCTTGTGGTATCTTTTTATTCTCCTCCCTACTTCACCACTCTTGACTTTACACTTTTTATAGGCAGGTCAGAGGGGGTGTTAGGTTAGGAATGTATGAAATTTATTGCCTCTTGGGTTGTGTACCAAGTGGCTTTCAGCTCCACCTAACTAATAAGTTATGTTTCTTATGTTTGTGAGTGTTCTGGTTTAGAAACATTTCTTGGCTTTGTTGTAACACAATATGTAGTCTTGATAGTCTTGGTACAAAAAGGTTTTTGGACCATACCTTTACTTTTGGTGAAATTTTGGACCAGACTTTTACAAGTTGGGCTTCCTATAACTCTTGGAGACTCAAACTTAAGCCATTTTTCTCAGGGAGGGCAGTACTTTCCTTGGGGAAAAAATATGTACAATATGCGCCAGATCAAGGCACATACATTCTTTCTTTGGACCATACCTGATTCCATGGTGTGGAATGAGATAAAAGGGAATGCAGGAGGCTACCTGCAAAAGCCTCTACCGCGAGGTTATGGAGCGTACAAGTTTGGCATAAGTCCCTTGCTTATTTCAGCCTCGCTCGAGGCGAGCGTGAGGCTTTGTTAAGTTTATGAATGGCTGTAGTTCGGAAGCGGGATTTAGATTCCACTCCATTGAAAGGGCATCAGAGAGAATAGCACATTCACTTCGCGCAAAATTAAAATCGTTCATCATTTTTCAAGAAATCGAACATCCGATTCTTTTGACTGAATTACCATCATCTATTTTTTACCTCGGGCTCTGATCCTTGATTGTACAGGTCAGTCGCCGTCAAGATCCAGGTCTTTAGAACCTTTTTTATGCCAGCCTAAAAATCAATTGCTAACAAATCTGATCGTACCCGGCCTTCTGAACCAAGGATTCAGAGACTCTGTCCCATTCTATCAAAACTTTACAATACTCACTTCAACCGTGGTAGCTATGGTCGAAACCCGCTCGGTGACAGTGAGTATTCAACCCCCAGCTGACCAAGTATACTTGATTAGAAAGTTATCTCTCGAGCTAACTTTCATTATCACGGTAATTGTCTCAAAATTCTAGACGCAAGCTTACTTTGATGATCTTGATGCATTGTGGAAGTCCGACGGCGAGACACATAAAAGACTTGTTGGGGTCAATCATGTAGCAGACGAACATTGCCTACATGACTCACATCGCGACCCGCCGGAGCATCGCTTTGAATTGAGGTGCCCTCATCAATTCTACCTCCAAAGACAAGAAACTACGACTGCCTTGAACACGGTGCCAATGGGTCAGTCACTCTCGGTCGAAGAAAGCTGGGTTTCAGACGAACTGGTTTTCCATCTGAGCGAATCGGTCCGCACCATGTATACCGGATGGAGCATGAGTTGGTGTGTGAGTTCAGATCATCGCTGCATCACCTAGGTTCTTCTCATTGAGGTGACGTTGATCCCCCTGCAAATCGCTACGACACAACGTGCGCAACACCAAGTTTTCAGTCCATCGCGAAGACGAATTGCAAATCTTCAGTCAGGGTACGCTCACTCCGCACAGCGACCCAGTCGAGTGGAAGACTATCACCGTGGGTGAAACAATGGACGTGAAGAGATTGCTCCAGCAACCAGGTACTGAGGTAAGTATGCATGCTACCCTAGTGAATCCTGGCATTAAACTGAATGTTTGCCATGACTCGCAATCACAGAACGACATCTACTTTCGTGCAACCTGGTCCTGTTCAGACACAGCGTCACTTTTGCATAGTACTCAACGCGATTTGGATAGTCTGACACAAGCGATGAAGCAAATGCGCAAAACAGTAATTGAAACTCTTGACCGTCCATTGAGCAGTATTACTCGTCTAGTATTTTGTTCCAAACGCAATGGAGCCGTGAAGAATTTGTATGTCCCAAGTCATATACTTACACAGTTTGAATACTTCCAAAAATGTGAGTGTGAAGCTTTCCCTCCCATCCCATGAGTATATTAGGCTTTCCCTGACTTACCTCACCCTCCTATTTCGCGTCTACCCAGGCCACTCATCAGAATATTCAGAGAGTCAACTTGTGGAAGAACCACCGCTTAAAGATGAGGAAGGAGACCAGGTCGAAGAGATGAGCTGCGGTGATTCCGACGAGGAATGGGACAGCGAGCCAGAGGATCATGAGCCCGAATCGGAAAAGGTACCCATTCACATCTTGTAGCATTCTGAGTCACAGATCATCTGGGAGGTAAAACTGATCTGGGATAATTAAACAGGATGTTACTTTCAAAGCGACCATTTGTGTCAAGGACTTCTCGTCAGTGATGCTCTTCTCATGTGTGTGTTTTGTGTAGGGTACTCAATTGGATGTTTCAGTCGCCGAACTTATCAAGCATTTATAGAGTATGCCATCTGCGGGTCAGTAAGCAATATTCCTGACAACACCAAATGTGATGGCGAACTGCAATCTAGCCGCCAAATCTAATCTTTTGTCTTTACAAATTTGAAATAGGGCTCTTTATTTTGCACCTCTGCGGTCTGCATACGAAGAATACTGCGAAAGAACTTCCCTCGTAGCTTCGAAGACTGGTGAAGACCCCACCAAACAGCCCCGTACTCTGTGGGCTGAGTGGGCTGAAGTCCACAGCACCCCTCATACCGTTGTACCTGATTTCAAGACACTCTCAAGTCCAAAGAGCATGTACCGCCTGGCTGATAGTAAGTGGATTTTGACATACTATCCGGGGATTTGAGTCATGCACCAATATAGAGGATCTCTGATGCACATTCAATCTCAAATCAAGTGTTACTTATTCCCAAACTCAAAGCTATATGCCACAAGCAAATCATTGGCTGCCTGAGTGTGAGAAATTTGATCTCTGAAATCCACTGCCCACTTTTTGAACAGCACCAGGAGCTTCGTGTGGATGCCTATCAATTGGTCCGCAAGAGCTGGAAATCATTCACCAGCTCCGAGCTTACTGCATTGATTGCACCTCTGTCACAAGAAGAGGCAGCTCTTGTTGTTCAACACGTACTTATGACACTTTCTCCGTAAAATTTTACTTTCATTATTTGTGTCAACTCATTCATCATGTATCATTAATTTTAAGGGGTACACTAACACAAACACAGTCCTATTGAGAATATGAATACAGATATATTGACATTTAATTTTGTTCAATGAAATAAGTCACTTTAACATGTTTATGTCATGATCAACATATCTCATGGACATGATCCTCCTTCAGACCAATTTTATTTTCAGCCAAACAATGATTCATTAACTCTTATAACATCTTATTATTGCATAAAGGATATTTCTTTACCTTGCCTAGGTTATGCCTAGGTGAGGTAAAGCTGTATGGTGGGAGTCAGGTCTCGTATAAGGGATTGTACTACTTTGATCTCTCCCTTCTATGTCGCCTGATCGCGTAGGAGGATCATGAGAGACATAATCCAGAGAGTCCCCCTTTGAAAGGTGAACTCTCTCTTCATGGAGAGATCTTTTCTGAGACCTCTTCATGCAAGTTGTGTCCCTGCTCCCCTCCTTGGTGTTGCGTGTATAAAAGTACAAATTGCATTAGTTCCTAAGTCCTGATTTCCAACATGGTTGGGGTGGTATTAAAAAAGAACTATTAGTAAATATATTGCCAGTGTTCCCTGGAGCCTGCGTTGGTACACACAATTCCATTCCTGAGGAATCAGGAGAGCAACGGGTGAGGATAGATGAGGGTAACACAGTCTGTGACAGATAGCACACACCTGTCACAGGCGGCTTGAGTTCCCAGAGATGTAAAGAGAGAGATACACTGAGATTTTTCCTCTCTACTCCAACATCTCATCCCTCACTATCCCGCATGTTGGAGATCTGAAAAATTTCATCTGCTTAGAGCTCATAGTCTTTTCAAACACCCACCCGCCTCCCGGGTTGAGAAGTCTATGGCTCCTCAGGCTCTGTTCTCGTCCTGAGGGTAGTGAAAGGGGTTGGCAGGTACCATCCCCATAGCTTTCCCTACCCTCGGGCCCACCCCCAAACCACAACCCTGTAGGATGCTGGCTCCTCATTGGAGGGAGGTATCCTAGGTACATGGTAGAACAGACCTGTGCTGCAGACACAGTTACAGTTCTGCACGTAACTAGTCTAGGTCACATATATGAACCAGACTCGTACTGAGCCTCTAGAGAATGGAAGTCAGCTATAATATTATGATGTGTGATTTGTGATAAGGAAATAAGTAGTGAGGATGAAGAGTTGTATGAAATTCAATAAATGTCAAATCATCAAGGACTCTAAAAGGGAGGAAAGAGTTCCAAATCATAAGTATATACTTTGTGTCAGAGGAACTTCCAATGGTTCTAGTGTTCTCTCACTTGTGTCTATTGATTATAATCAAACACCAGATTTGTCACTTATTGAAATAATCTACTCCCTTTTGGTCATTCACTTCTTATGATGTTACCCTCTACATGGACATATCTTGCATTTTGTCCCTTGAGCAAGAGGCAATTCCTACAAACTACTCAAATGAAGTAAGTAAGAAGGTGATTGAACAAAAATTCAAATGATAAAAAAACCCACAATAAACATATTTCCAACATGTTTCAAGAAGAAAACTATGATGACTTGATTCACTGTCACATCACTCATCACTTGTTGGATAAATTGTGAAATTGTTTTTGGTGCTCTATCAACCTAGTAGAATATGGTGTAGCAGATGTACAAAAGCAGAAGGCAGAAAATGAAAAAAATCAATGGTTAATGAAGTTGTCGAGTATATCCAAGTGTTTCCCAAACTAGGAATAATGTATGAGGCCATAACTTGTCATGGTAGTTACAGTTACGGTACTCACAAGTATGTAGGCATACATACTTTGTGCTACATACTTTTTTTTGGCGGGGAAAAAAACAAAAATATACTTTTGGTCTTGTTTTCCCTGCCAAAAAAAGTATGTCACAAAAAGTATGTACCCATACATACTTGCTTTGAGTACCCTAAGTCAACACCGGGTCAGCAACACAATGACATGTCAAAACTGATATCAATGTAATGTTGCTTAAATCACCCAGGTGCTGCAGGCTGACTTTGGATAACAATGCTTTTTCAAAAAAGGGCAGGATTTGGCCAGGCCATAGCGTTACTCCAAACAGCAATACTACAGCAGTGCTAAAACACTATACCACAACAAAAATCATCAGAGTTGGTTAAACTTAGAGCTAAGTAGGGGATTGGAAGTTAAATGGATAATTGGTTGGTTAAGCAAGGTGAGAGCAACCCTGGGCCAGCAACGCAAGTGTTGCGTGCTGCGCTGCGCTTGCATTGCGGTTTTTCTGACCGCACCGCACCGTAAAATCCATTTTGAAGTTGCGGCCTGACCCGCTGCGCAACAAGATGTGTCCAATTCCAAGTTGTTTTGGGCCGCAACAACATTTGTTGCATCACTGCCCAAAAAAACTTGAAATTTGACGGTTTTTTGGCGCTGTTGCGCCTTTTGCGTTGCGTGGCGGTCAGCGCGCCACGCAACCCAGGCTAACGTTTTGTTGTTGCGGTACTTACCGCAACGCAGCGTCTGCCGCTGGGCTTTGTTGCGTGTTGCGGAGCAACGCACCAAAAAACACGCTTTCTGCGGTGCGGTGCGTTGCTGGCACAGGGTTGGTGAGAGCAGAGCAAGATTAAGGATGTAAATCAGATGAAAGATAGAAAGAAAGATACAAAAATGGTACAATAAAATCAGTATTAGTGAAGACAGAATTATAAGACAAAATTGTTGGGGACAAGTGAAGATGAGAGACAGAACTTGTCACTTACAACAATTCCTGTTGTGCAAAAATAACACATTGCCTAACACTGCTTGTTGATGTGTGCGTCTAGACCACATTGAAACACCAGATGGTACCTATTGTGTGTATGGTGTATATTTGTGCTGTTTTGGGTGATGGATGCAAGATGTTCTTGATCAATTGATCACCCTTGCTTACATATGCTGGATTGGGAAATTTGGCCCCGTTACATCCACAACTTAGCAGTCTCGGAGTTACTTAAGCAGTTAACACTGCAGGTCATAAACAATTGGTCTTCACGGGGGTCCGTGGCGTATATGTAGACCAAGGAGCTATGGATAACCACAAATTTGCTGTGTTGCTGGACAAAGTAAACCACAATGCACCATCCCGCATAACCTTAACAAAGTCCCACACCCGCCTAGCAAGGCTTAGCAAGCGAGGGACTTACCTTGAACTTGCAGGTTTGATAGTCTGAGGGTAAGACTTTTTGCAGGAGGTTTCTTGAAGTACATCTGCACACTTCCCCACCAAAGATTCCTATGTGGTCCAAAGACAAAAATTATGCGCCAATATCTTGCGCCGTGTTTGCCCTCATTTTCTCCCTCATTTTTTTCCCAAAGAAGTCAATTCCTTCTCACCACAATTATGTCTCAAAGATTGGGTCTTGGCAGCAAATCTTGACTCAAGAGGGAAGTTACATGTGTGATTTTCCTTCAAGAGCCAATCTTTGATGTGAAATCTAGGCCGGAGGGCAGCACTTTCATCAGTGGAGAAAATATGTACAATTTGCGCAAGATCAAGTGCATAACTTCCTCCTTTGGAGCATATACAAATCCTTGGTAGGGAACAATGTAGAAGGGAATCAAGGGTGTCACTATACTATACTGATACAAGTATAGTTGGGTATAGTATAGTTTAAATTGTACTATACTATACTCAGTATAGTATCAATTGATCAACTATACATGGACAAGGGTTAAACAAGTTTTCCATCAGCATGTTCAACTATACTGCACAGTATAGTATAGTATAGATGAGTATAGTTGTACTATACTATACCAAGTATAGTTCAAGTACAGTATAGTTGAACTATACTATACTGAGTATAGTCACAGTATAGTATTGTATAGTGGCAGCCTTGAGGGAATGGAAAAGGCTCCCTGCAAAGCACTCTACCCTCAGCCTATAAAACCTGCAAGTTCAAGGTAAGTCCCTCGCTTGCTAAGCCTCCCTAGGCGGGCTTGGGACTTTTACATGTTGTGTTGCTGACATGGTGTTGTTAATATAGTGAATCATACAGTGTTTGTCTTCCCCTCACTCACCTGTACAATGCACTTCTCCCCCATATTTTCCTTTCTACATAGAGTACTCCAAAAGAGTACCCTACCCTCACATTGACCCACCAGCACATATCTATGAGACAAAGTGTCCTCATAAATTCAGCTTGCTCAGGCAAATAAATGAAACTGTCCTGGCTACCGCGTCAATGGGACAGTCAATTTCAGTAAACAAGCACACTTCGGATGTGATAGTTCTCCATCTGAGTGATTTGGCACGCACAATCTTCACTGGATGGAACATGGAGTGGAACGTCAGTTCAGACCATTGCTGCCTTACCTTCTCTTTTCAATGAGGAGACGTTGATGTCTGTGCAAATTGCTGCTTTGACACAACATGGGAAACATCCAGTTTCAGGTGCATTTTCAACAAGAAGCCCAAGTGATTAGGCAGGGTAAGCTTACTCCGCGCAGCAACCCAGATGAGTGGAAGACTATTGTTGCGGGTAGATCTATGGACGTCAAGAAATTGCTCAAAAGACCAGTTGTTGAGGTAAGTATATGTGAATCCTACCCATCCGAATCCTGGTCGAATACTGAAACTGTGTAATTACTCACAACTACAGAACAGTCTCTACTTTATTGCAACCTGGTTCATTGGAGACGCAGTGTCACATTCGAATAGCACTAGGCATGAGTTGGATGATTTAACAAAATCAATGAGACAAATGACCACGGTGTTTGAAATATTTCAACAACCCTCGATTGGGATCACTTGTTTAGTTTTCCGTTCCAAATGCAGTGGAGGCGTGAAAAATTTATATGTCACAAGTCATATACTCACACAGTTTGAATACTTTCAAAAATTTGAGTTTGGTGCTCTCCCCTCCATCCTATGTATGTGTATAAAGACGTCTTACCTGACGGGCTAATTGTGTGAGTTTACCCAGGCCATTCCCCAGAATATTCCAAGACCCAAAATGTGGATGAACCATTGCATGAATTGGAAGAGACAAAAAGCTTTGGTGCAGGGATAGGCTGTGGCAATTCCAACAATGAATGGGATATTGCTTCAAACAAGCCAGAAATTCCAAAGGTACACATTCACACTATAACATTTTGTATTCCAATATATAGATCCACTTTGGACTGAAACTGATTGTGATCCACAACAGAACACTGTGGTGAGCAAGATCTCTACTTAAGCAACAAATTTAAAAATTATGCAAAAATTTGTATTTTTGGTCAAAGGCAAATTTATTATTGAAGTTATTAGTCATCAAGTTTATCAAAGTTGATTTATAATCTGCATTTCATTATCTTTTAAATCATATATTTACATAAGCAATTGATAAGAACATTTAAGAGTAAAGAAAAATTTGAAAAGATCAATAAAAATAGTATAAGAGTTAAAATCAAATTAAAGGAATTAGTAAGAAGGGATTTGAGGAAGGAGAACATTTAGTTTGGATCTTAAAGAATGGAAACTGTTATCAAAAGAATGAAAGAAGAAGAACAATATTAAGAAAGTTGAAGGAAATTTCGATAATATGGGTATGAAAGGCTGGAAAATGGTTTTTAGGTGATTATTATAAGAGTTATTGGTTCAGGAAGGTTTTATTATGAAAGAGAAGGATAACATTAGTCAGCAACAACTTTAATCACAAGGATTGATAAGGGAGGTGTGAAATTATTCAAGAAAAGGGGTATTTTGAAAAAGGGTACTATGGTATTAATTCCTGTGTAGTGATGTCATTGATGGATTGATTGCGCCAAGGGTTTTTCAGAATGATTTTAGTGCTGTGTGATTGATTGGAGTGCTGTGGAATGATCTTTTGATAGAAGGAAAATTTTTATTAGACGTGAAAATAGTCAAAATTCATCAAAAATGGAGGTTTTTAGTTAATTACATATGTTAAAACTTGGCAGAATTGGGTGTGTGATAGCTCATTCAACGCAGAATTATTCATTTCATAATGTAAAACCTTTAAATCATTAGTAACGGAGGAGTAGTGAAAACGTTATAAGGCAACAAAGAAACTGGAATGAATTTCGAATTTGGTGATTACATATGACATTTACATGACAAAACTTTATTTTCTCAATCTTTACAACTCAATAACTTATTCATCACACATCAGAAATAGGTCATATGGGGGTGATAAATTATCAGTATCACGAGGGCTATCATATGAGCTATAGTAATCAAAAATTGAACAACTTTACAAAACATTTGTAATTCCAAAAATGGATTTCAGCTATGAATATTAGGAAAAAATCACCTGTATTCATCATAAGAAGATCTGTTCATCATTTATTAACATTAATTGATCAAATTCACGCCTTGAATCATTACAAACAATAATATTTATGACACCATATGGTTACATTGGAGGATTTTCTGTTGATTTTGACGGTTTTGAGGGTTTTTGGAGGCTGTTGACCATTGTTGAAGGTTGTTAGAGGGTTATATACTATTGTTAGGGATTTTATGTGCCTATGTTCCCTTTTTTACTCATCTTATACTTTTGTTAGAGTGTTTTTAATCATCATTAAATTACTTTAGCAGTACTAAGTTCACTAAATTGCCCCTTTACATCAAAAGGAGAGATTTCTTCACGTGTGATAAGACTACAAGTCTTCATTGGAATAACAATCAAACTGATTGTTGCTTTGCTAGTAATTAAAAGTTGTGTTTTGTTGTGCTCAGATTGGAATAACACTATAGCAGTGTTGAGGTTTCTTTATTTCTAAAAATCACGGGAATAATACTTGAATTAAGCATTGAGACAATTTCTCTGGTGCCTTATCCCAAAGAATTCAGCAAAAGCCCGTGTTGATTCTTTCAAAGAGGCAGTCTTAGGCAACTTCTACTAGTTAGTTATATTAGTAGATTATCCCTCTTTAAGCTCTGTAAAGCTCTTGTTGAGCTTTAAGTTCTACAACGCTTTGTTTGAAGCCACCATTGATGTCACAGGCACCTTGTCAGTGATACTCTTTTTGATAACTCCACTGTCAGTGATAGATACTTCTGATTCAATTTTACCATAATCTTTGAAAAGATTAAAGTCGGAAACCATGTGATCTGAGCAGGCGCTGTCCAGTAAAACATTGCTTCCATTCATCCAATATTGACAGGACAAGGCAGAAGTTTCAATTAAATCATCCACATAAGTTGCTTGTAATACTGCAGTTGTGGCTCAATTACAAGAAGGTACATTGGCGGGACAAAGATGAGGAAGTGCTACCCAAAACTTCGGGCTTGTGACCTCTAACAGCAGGATTATGAACACCATTTGTGCACGTAGGGTAAGGAAAACGTCTTCCAGATTGCCAAGCAGGTGGTTGATTGGAAAGTGTTGCAAGCGCAATGGAGTTATTGTTGTTACAATGGTGTTCCTTATACTTGACAAGATAAGAGTCAAGAGTATCCAACACTATTTTAGTTTTCAGTGGGCGCTTGGAGTCCAGAATGGAAATCATAGTCTCCATGGAGTTGGGAAGTTTACCAACAATGGTTTCTGAGATGATTTTGTTTGGATCGTAGCTGAATTTGATTCCACATGCATGCATTGTTTCCAGAGCTGCTTGAGTATCTTTGATGTACAGAACAAGTGATTGATAGGTGATTTGTGTGAAGGAAGAGTATGCTCTACCTTTGCTACCGGAAGTTGTGGCTTGGAATTTACTTTTCATAAGATTTCAGATATCCAAAGGTTTTCTGATAAGACCTTCAGATTTGACAAGAATGCAATATGGCGGTGTCATATGAGTATACATGATACCTGCCGCTTTGTGTTGGCGTATCACGTAAGCCTCACAAAGAACTTTTTGTTCAAGAGGGACGGGTAACTCAGTTGGAGCTGTGACGGGAGTTGCCTCGGAATCCATGAACTCGTCTAGAGTTGCCAACATGAGGGCTCCAATGATATTGCCCTTCCATTCGGGGTAGTTGTCATCATCAAGTTTGACAATACAAAGTCTAGTTTTGTTGGACGAAATATTGATGACAAAGACAAGTGTGATGAATGAAAGGATGAATAAGATGCTCTGAGTGTGATGAGTTGTCATGAATCAATCAAATTGTAATAGTGTAAAAAAAATTAAGCTTTTTGAGTGGTGGGATGAGATGTGTGTGGTGTGATGGTTTTTTGTTTTTGTACAGGTGTCACACTGGGCTCATAACCAATGGAATGAGAAACCTGTGAGGAACAGGTTATTAGCTTTTATAATAAAGCTAATACACTGATTGAATGAGAAATAGACAATCTGAGGAACAAATATTGTAAAGGAAAAATAAGTTTAAGTTCAATAAAGAGAAAAGATTACAATGATTAATGTGAAGAACCTTTTACAAGAGCTTAAACTTATGACATCATTACAGATTAATGAATTAAGCAAACAAAACAAATAACCACATAACATAAGACACGTGTAACAATCTCAATTCTCATGTGGTACTCAAGTGGAAATCAACACTGCACATCCAATTTGCTGATCATCAGGTACATCACTCACCAACCTCTCCCAACATCAAATTTGGTCTCATTTCAGCATTTGACATACCAGTCATCAGCACATCTGATACCTCAAACCCTTACAATAGATTACTTCATATTGATCTCTGGATGTGTTATGCACAGGGTTCACTCTCAATCTCAAGCAATCATTCTTGATGTGTGGATATCTCAATATCAGTTCACTTCATGATCAGGTTTTGCTTTGGAAATCAAGTATCAGTGCCCTTGTGGAACCAACTCAATTCAAAAAAACTATATCATCTCAGGTGCTCTAACAACTCGGTTCCTCTGACACAAGATCCAGTCCCTTCAGCCCTTTGGATCTCATTTAGCCTGCTTTTGAAAGGGATTTCAGAGCAAATATCATTATATTTTCACTATATAGTACACCATCTCACTGTTATAATTCACTGCATCCCAATTAGACCGTGCTGTTGCGCTATGTGGCACAAAATGAGGCAAAAAACATAACAAAAGGTGTGTGTTGATGTTTTCACTGAAAGAAGATAAACAAAGATGATCCACTATTGGGTGGACAAACTCAAGCTCTGATGGGATTGGGAAAATGCTGATCATGCTTGGGGTGTTCAGGCTCTGCTATATTTGCAGAGGTTATAGCAGACACAAAACCCAGTAGGATATTGCATTGCAATGACTATTCACAGCAGAGCAGTTTGGGTATATCACAGTTAAGATGGCACATGGAGATACTGTTATGTGTCAGCAGTTTAGTTGATTTAATATGATGAAGGAGTCACAAGTGCAGGATTCAGGAGGGAGACCTATTATGAGGAGGCAAAGGATTGATTACATTGGAATGCTGTGTCAACTTTGACCACAGTGATCTGGGTAGAACTTGAGCTGTGGCATAGTTGAAAAGTTTTGCATGTTTTTGTGGGATGGTTGCAATTGCTTTTTACCAGACATGCTCAGGTACAGATTTCTTAGATATTGTATTCACCACTTGCAAGGCCATGCAGTCTGCTATTCATCACAACAGCCTGAGCCTGAAACTTAAGGGGACTTACATATACCAAACTGATACAAATTCAAACATCATAGTTGAGCCTTTGGTAGGTGGTATCCTACATGACTCCCTAGCAATGATTCATCCTGTGACCAAAAAGAAAGATGTTACACTATCCAATCTCTTGGAAAGATTTACCAAGGAGAATCCCTTTTCCTCCACAGGGTTTGATCTAAGTGATCTAAGGGCCCATTCACTTAAGCAATTTTTGTTCACAAATTGCATTCTACAAAATTTAAAGTGCAGGTGTGGTGGAGTATGATTCATTGTTGGGTTTTAAGATTTACAGAATCCAATTTCTGTCCAGAACTTGTTACCATTCTTTATCATCCAAATTTCAATTATCATTAAATCAAGAAGTAAAAAAACAACCAAATCCCAAAAAGATTACATTTACTTACAATCTATTCTAATTCTAATAATGATATCAAACAAAAAAATTACATTTACTTCTTTATTTTCCTCCTCACTTACTTTACTACTTTCTTAAAATCACAGAAAAAAAACCTTAAATTCAATTTGTTGAAAATCCTCTCACCTTGTCTCAAATCAACCTTCTACTTATCTTGTTAGAAAATTTTCTCAAAGGTTTCAGTTTTACCTTTTTGTTCTCTTACTTCTTCTGATCCCATCATCTCCACTATCTTTTTCAACTTCATGCTCCTTTTCCTTTTCCTTTTCCTTCTCCTGTTCTTCATCTTTTTCTTTCTCCTTTTCCTTCTCATTCTCTTCATGTTGTTCCTTTTCTTCATCTTTCTCATTCTCTACTTTTCCTCCACCATTCTCTCCAACTTCTTCTTCCACCTTTTCTCCACCTTTCTCCTCGACAACCTTTTCTTCAACCATCTCCTCACCTTTCTCTTCCTTGTCTCCATTTCCTAATCCCTCCCCACTTCCCTCATTCTTCTCTTCATCTTCATCTTCCCTCTCCCTTTTGTTTGGTTTGGCCTGATCAGTTACATCTTCAACTTGAATTTCAATCTTCTCATTCTTCTTCTCATCCTCAATCTCATTCATCTTTTCATCCTTCTCTTGCTTCTCTACTTCAATCTCCAGAGCCAGACCCTCAACGTTTTCTTCAACCCCAACCTGTTCATTCGTTAATCTCAATTCACTCATCTCATTCTGCTTGTCAATACTCTCCTCTTCATCTTCATTCTTCATCTCCGTATCCCCACCAGCACGATCCATGGAATCCTCAACCTTTTTGCTTTTTTCCCGTTGCCGATCATCCTCTTCAATACGACTACTCAAACTGCCAATCAACCTTTTCCTATCCCTTCCCATCATCCAATCATCCTGACTCCCATCCTCATCTTTTCCAAAAACCTGATCCCTAACTAATTCCTTAATAAAAACATCTAAAAAGATCGGTAAATTTCGTATCTTATTAATTAATCTTTCATACCTTTTTAATTTAGATTCCATTAAATCTTTTAAAATCGTTCCGGTCATCTTTATTCTTAAATCTTCTTGAATCTTCAATTCAATCGAAATTGGTAATCGGTTTTGATATGATGGTAAAATTGGTGATGGGAATTGTAAAATTAATTGAAATAAATTCGGATTTAAAATTATTTCAATCGGAATCGATTTTGGTTTTTGATCTATCAAAAAAATCAAACAATCAAAATTGGTACCACACAAAAACAAGAAAATTCAACTTGGTTTTTCACTTTTCCAAGTGACTTACTACTAAGAAGTTCATCAAGTGTGATCTCTTCTTTTAAATCCCCTTCTTCTTCTTCTTCTTGTTTTCTTATAAACCCTTTTTGATCGTCTTCTTCTGCTGCTGCTGCTTCTGCTTTATCATTACAAGAAAAAAGATAATGTCTAGAATTAAAACAAGATTGAAATAATTCATTTAAGATAGCTTGTTTTCTAGAAATCTAAACCTCCCGACCCACCCACCCAAAAGAAAAATCAGAAAACAATCTCTCATCAGAAAAGAAAACTCTCGAAAAAAAAAAGAAAGAAAGAAAGAAAGACTAACATGAATGATTTTCAATAATCCATCTAAATCATTAAATCCAACTTCTTCAACCGAAAATCCCAAATGGTTTTTAATTTCTAAATCTTCATTTCTTTTAATACAACTAAACTTCATCAAAGGTTTTTCACCATACCCAAATTGATCATCTCTCCATTTGCCATTCTTCAAAAACTCTTCTTTCTTCAACCTCAATTTCGTTTTCTTTTCTTTCCTTACTTCTTCTTCTAACACTTCTTTTTCTAATGATACTGATTCTTCTGATTCTAACTGATTAATTAATAATAAATCATCTAGAAATAAATCATGCTCATCACTTTCGATGATTTTCGTTTTACCTTTTTTTGAATCATTCGGTTTTGTTATTCGATTGAATTCTAATGCAATCGGTTTACTCACCAAGATAGGTGGATCAAAAACCACTGTAAAGAGTGAATCGATCGAAAACTTATTCAACTTTGTAGGTTTAGTAAACTTAATCATCATCATCAAATGATCCGATCTTCTCAAAAGTTCTGATGATTTAAATCTAATCAATTTAGCTGCATCGAAATGATAAATGATTTTTAATTCAAAATGGTTGGGTGAACTGATAGGATATCCATATGGTGATAAGTTTTCTGGATCGATAGGTGGTGTATCTAAATCAATAAATGATCTTATTTTTTTAAAAAAACACATTTCAAATATCAGTTTTTTTTAATTCCGTTGATCATGGGATCCAAAAAATAAAAGCTTAACTGAAGTGAAGTTGAATCATGACATTCAAACTTTAAAAACTCCAAAAACTTAATATGAAAAGACTTAATAAGTAAACGAAATTGAACAAAATAATCAATCGGTTCGTATCCAGGTTGATTGGTTTGTGATTGAGTTTGTGATTGTTGTGAAGAAATCAATTCATCAATTGATTTTAATTGAAATAATAAATTCGAAAACTTTTTCAATGATTCTAATCTAAGTTTAGGTAAATAAATTTGATGAATGTGTTTTAATGAATTTAATAATGCTTTATCTGATTCTTCATCTCTTTTAGATTCTTCATCACCAAATGAATACGAAAATTTACATCTGATTACTTTTTGATTCAATAAAGATTGACGATCTTGATGTAATGTAGTACTAGAAGTTTGAGGGGAATTCAAATCAGGTTCAATGATTTGATTAGGTGGATCAAATTCAAGATCGATGACCATCACTTTTCCTGCAATCATCAATAAGTTTGAATCCGGTTCACGAAAGAATTCTAAAGAATGTTGACGAAGTAAAAGTTCGATTAGATGAAGTGTTTGAGGTTGAGATTGAGGTTGAGATGAAGAAGCAGAAGCAGAAGGATGAGATTGATTAATGATAAATTGAGGTGCGAGTGAACTGATGGAAGAATGATGATGATTGATTAATTGATCTGCAATTTCAGATTCGATTTTCGCATTCATTAGATAATTCCAACCACGTGAGGATTCTCTTAAAAGTGAAAACAATTTAGGAAATTGAGTTTGAGTGACATTAGGTTGATCTGGAATCGGCTCTGGTAAGGGTGGCACATGAGAAATCAAAGGTCCTAAGACTGAATGATGAAACTTGACGATCGAATGTTTAATTGATTTTAATGAGTTGATGAGTTGAAGTTTTGAGTTTCTGATTTGATGAGTTGGAAATGAAAGTGGATGAATAAAGAATGGATCGATTGGTTGATTCGGATTCTGGACTTCAGTTTCCTTTTCTTTTGGAGTGTGACTATGAGTTCGACTATGAAATTCATTTTGATCACAAGTACTATGGAATTCACTTTGACTTTGAAGATCACCATTAAATTGACTCAGACTTTGAAATTGACTTCCAAGGGTATTCTGACTATGAAGTTGACTTCCAAGGTTATTCTGACTTTGAAGTTGACTTCCAAGGTTATTCTGACTCTGAAGTTGACTTCCAAGGGTATTCTGACTGTGACTCTGACTTTGAATCTGACTTTGACTCTGACGGTGATAAGCATTTGAAAGGATATCTTGATCCAAGTCTTGATTCAAATCCCATCCTTGATTGAATATGATCGGTTTAACATTCAAAGTTGAAAATGGATTTCTATTCTGATATTGACCTGTTGCTGGATCGTATTCTTGAATTGGATTTCGAATCGGTTGAGTTTCTTTTGGTGATTGGTCATCTGGATCTTGATTTGATTTTATTTTCTTGATGATAGGTTCGATAGTTAGTTTGATTTCGTGTAAGCATTCAATCATCGCTCTGTGGTCATTTCCTTCAGTTGCCGTGCTTCCATTCATCTTTTAAACACCAGATATCCGTTCGTTTGATTTGATATGATTGTTTCGTACGAATTGTTTTGTGTTGATGACTGTTTTGGTAATGTATGCTTGATGTTGAAATGCTGAGTTGGCTTCGATCATTAAAGTTGATTCAGATGGTGTCTCGCTACACTGACGCGGTACTGTACCGATTCATGTCGGGCTTTTAACATGTATGTAATTTCGACCTTGAATTTGGTCAAGATAAAGATTGAGAATCAGCTTACATTACCTTAACACCAAGATGAGCATTTCAATGTTAACTTCATTAACTCATCGATCAACTCAATCAAGACTATCATCTCGACTATACCATCAATTCAGTTTACCAAGACTCAACATTACAATCACACCTCTTAGACTTTTCTCTTCTTCTATTCCATCAAATTGGAAATCAAGTAAACCGAAAAACAAACCAAATCGATATAAACTAAAAACTCATCAAGGTGCTTCTAAACGATTCTTTGTCACAGGTCATGGTCAATTCAAACGTGTAAGAGTCTTTTTCTCTCTTTTCTGAATTTCCTTTCAAGAAACTTCAACCAGAGTAAAAACCCAAAAATCTTGATCCATTTTTTGTTTTGTTTTGTTTTAAAAAAAAGTCACAAGCAGGTAAACAACATTTAATGACCGGTACATCACATTCAAAAAAACGTAAATTAAAACCCATGATTATTGTCAATAAGACTCATACGACCAAATTACGAAAACTTTTACCTTATGTTGGAAAACGAGCTGGGTTTAGAAAAGTCAATGAGGTAGATTCGGTTTGGTGGTCAACAGGTAGATTACAGAAATCGGGAAGTGCTTTGAGATTGGCTATCTTGAGGGCTAAAGGGTTTGAAAAATTAAAAATCTCGGGTTCTACTCAATCAGATTCGATTTCTAATTCTATTTGAGTTTTGGGTTATGAAGTTTGGAATGAAGAAATCGGTTGAATTGATGGTATTTGTCGATCATTTGTAAGCGAATTCTGTAGGGATCTCGAAGAGCTAGGTGACCAATCGTGCGTCTTTAGTAAAAGTAATATTGGTCAAGTGAATTGATATGTATCAAAAAGTGGAGGTATATTCCCATAAACCATTCATCTGGAACCACTATCTGATTCCAAGAGGTGCAAAATCCTAAGGATTTCAAAGATAAATTAAACCATAGAAACATGTAGCGGGTCAAAGGAGTGATATTCAAGATTGCTGTTGGCTAGAAGCTTAAGTCATCTCTTGCTTGTACATTTGCTATGAAGTACTTTGCTTTTTGATTTTCCGTGGCAATTCTTTGCTTTTCTCGCCGGTGACAAATCGATAAATGAAGCCGGGAGTCTCATCGATTCATAATTCTATTGTCTCAGCACAAAATGTTGAAGGTCTGAAGTGTGATGGATGAGCTTTAAATCACATTATCTTGGTGTCGCATGTCTTGAAATAATGATAATTCGAGATTTCAAAAGCTTTCTAGAAATGAAGGAGCCGAAGACGTCAAGTATGCAATCAAACAGCCGATAGATGAACCAAGAGACTTGAGTTTGCTTTCTTGTTTTCTTTTTGGGATCAGCTTGGGCTTGAATCAATGAGTATATAAAGACGACAAGATGACGATGAGATTGGTTCCTCACACAAGTCTTGTTCCAGCGCAATTTCCTTCACGTTCACAATCTTCAACGCTCGTAACGCAAATCCAAAACCCGAGACCTCAACGATAAATCAACCTACAAACCTTTTCACACTCCTGTAATAATATCAACATGGACAACACAAATTTCAATGCGGCAGGTTCCGCTTCAGGTGCGCAGGAGAGATTGGGAACTGTCCAGGCTGATACGTTTTCCGATTCGTCCGATGCTACTGGTCAGGATGGATTGTGGGGCTCTGAAGATGAAGACAAAGTTGAGAAGAAAGACCAAGATGCTAGTGGTTCCTTTCAGTCAGTATCTTTAGCGTTGCCTACCCGTTCCGCCCCTCCACTTGCTTTACCGGCTCGCAACGTTATCCCACTCCCAGCCAGAGCCACCTCAACAACACAAATACCAGTTCATCCTACTCAGAATCCCTCCCAATCACAATTTACCTCTGATCTACAAATTGACTTTATCCTGCCCGTAGAAAATACCAATTTAACCATACCTGACATCCCTGTGCCATCCTCCAATCAATATCCAAGTCATCCAGCACCTCAAGACCCAAGATTCTTCGACTACATTGCTCCCTTACCCAACACATCCAATGACATTCCTGCTCCTCAACAACAACAACAGGAGCACTTCATAGACCCCGCTCTGCTATCTTCAGATTTCACTGGGCCTGGTTCCCTGGATTGGTTTTACCAATTTCCTACTCCCAATTACATTGACCCTACAGCAGCACCAAGCAACGATATCCCTGTACCACCCCTAAGCCACTACCAAGAACAACCACAATTCATCAACCCCGGCAATCTACTGTTAAATCCAAATGGGGCTGGTTCCCCAAACTGGCCGTTCAATCCTTGCACCAACCAGCAACACTACAGCTATACCAACCCCACACCAGGAGCTGGACCTCCTGTCGCCTCTACCTCCCAACTGCCTGCTTCATCTTCCTCTCGCAAGCGTGGTCGAAAGGCCTCGGAAACCGAAAAGGAACCTCAAACCAAGAAAGTCCGACAAAGAGATCCTGACAAACCCAAAATGCAAAAAGCGCCTTGTCCTTGGCCCGGTTGTGGGAAGATGATCGTTATAAAAAATATGCAGCGACACATTGAGGGTTTGCATCTTGGTAAAAAGAAGGTTGTATGTCGGTATCCAGATTGTAAGAAAAAACTAGCATGGGAAGGTGATCGTATTCGACATTACAGAACTGTACATCGCGGACAACCACGACCACCTGACAAAACACCAACACCTTCTCCTGAGGGCACACCTCCTCTAGATGGCCCATATCCTCCTCGGGGACCCCCATCACCACCACCACCACCACCTGGGGCAAGCGGGATAGCTGCATTCTGAAAAAACGATGAGTGTTTCTTTTTAATATTAGTTATGAAAGTTGAATTTCCCTTGATGACTTGTAAATATTTATCTTATCAGGTTTCTAATTGTTTCTTCTTCTTTTTTTGGATTTTGCGCTATTGAGAATACAAGACAAGAACTTGAATCAAAATAACCCCTTCAAAGTTAAGCTTTAAGAGTGAATATTGTGAGTCAATTAAATTAATTCTTTTTAGTATAACCTAAGCCTTGACTTTTTTTATTCTTGATTTTATTGAAATGGTTTTTTTGGTGGAATTTTGAGCTGGAAATCAATCTGACCTGGACATCAGTTAATTTGAATGGCGAGTCAATTTTCAATCATTATTGTAATCTCACAAGAATCTTCATTCTGATTAGAATTGTTTCTTTCTGAGCTGTATATTTTAGGATGCAACCCATTATATTCAGACTCAAAATGATCATTATCAATAACTAGAGAAATTGTGAAATCGTGATATTATGATATTTTAAACATTTGATTCATAACATCAATCAGAATAACCACCACCACAAAAGATTCAAATCAAAATAACCATGATTCAAGGGTCTGAAACTCTGGCTTGCTCATGGAAAAATCATTCACCAAAAGAAAAAGAACTCAATAGGTAGAAGGATTTCTTTTTGTGGATTCTGGAGTCTTTCTTCTGTTGAGCAAAAGATCTTCATTCACAAAATCCTATGTCTAGGCTGTCATGTAAAAATACAAATTGGTAAACAGATTTGAAATAGCCCAAAATGATGGTCAGTAAGTAGCAGAAAATAAATTCACTGGATTAACATCAATTTTTTTTGGTTTTGCATATATGCATTTGAATCAAACTTTGAGAAGGGGAACAATCATATATCAAACTTGTACTGGAGTGGACTGGTACAGTTACCACAATTCACACTTGATTGATTTAAGATTGTGGTACTTTAGTCAGATTGAGAAAACACAAGGTCTGAGGGAAGAGGTCAGAATGATTGTATGCCAAAATCAAATATAGACAACCCCATCAAAAATCATACCTGCATTCAAGCATAACCCACCTATAACCATGGGTTCTTTGAGCTCCCAAAGTGACCTTTGCCTACAACAAGCTCCCCTGTCAAGGCAAAACCCATCTACACCCATGGAAATTCCTTTCCACCCAGCAGTATTGATTTAGAGGTGTTTGACTGTACAAGTAGATGCAGAAAGTATATGTCCCCCTGTAGTTATCTTTTGGCTCCAAGGGTGTTCTATCTTTTCTGTGTCCACTTATACTTCCAGGTTTTATATAGGATCCAGATGATCTAACACTTGATATATTGTATGTATGATTGGGTTTGTGAGTGAGTTTATCCAACATGTATGTGTCATGTATATCCTCTTCTCTGGTTTCTTGAAATTGTACAAGCAGACACAGAAACAATATGTCACCCTTGAGGCCAAAACATCGCTATAGCATATGTGATACATCCAAGTGAAGCCGGTCTAGCCCCATGGGTGACATCCCTTTTCCATGTCTACTTTTCCATGCGTAATTTTGCCTTATATGACCACCTAACAAAAGAAAAAGAAGAATGGTTAGCTTTCTTAGATAAGAAAAACAAACCCACCGTTGAACCAGCAGAAATATCAATCAAGTCCTCAACTGAGAGGAAAGTAATGAAAGTTCAAAAAGGAGAAATGATCAACAATCACCTCAATATGCTATCACCTTACTGGGACACAGTCATGAAAGAGTTCAACTGGTATATTCCCCTTTCCATCTTCAATCCTGCATGGTTAGGCCAAGACATGGCCTTTGTCTCCAACAAATTGTCCAAAACAAGGACCAAAGCTCCTTGTCATATAACAGGTCTCCATTCCCAAGTGAGTGGCAAACTACGGTTTCCAAAAAGGACTCTCAAACACTATAAGCAAACAGAGGTTCTTCCAGTCACAAAAGCGCACTTTGAGAACGTTCTGAAAATCCAAGACAAAAATGAAGTCTGCTGGGTGTTAGCTTATTGCTATGACCTGATGATGAGATGAGCATACCTCATATTTAAAGTGGGTGACACTGGATCATCAATGGCAGACATCAGTGTTTGAAACCCAAAAATAGAATAATTAGCTAAGAGAGAGATGTTGAGAAGAAACATCAACATGTTCCTCAACAGTCCATACACCCTATTAGGAACAAGATGCTACATTGATCCTATGGACGGATCAAACTAGCAAGGACAATCCGCAAAATTGGATCACCCAAGTCAAACAGAAACAAGGGAAGACAAACTAGAACTCTCAAGATCTACCCAATTAATCAGGTCAACACTCTGGTCTCAAACTCCACACAAGCCACACAAGAACTCACAAGTGTACCATGCTACCCCAAAGATTCAGTGTCAAACACCAGCTCATAAAAACTCTTGTATGGCATCTGGGAATGATAAAGTCACTGGTGTGCAACTCAACAATCCAATGAAGTGATCCGGCCAATGGCTCTAAAGGGTTGAATCCAGACAATCTTCAAGCTCCTTTTGTACATCAGCCAAGCTATTGGTGTGATCAGAAGATGTTGTAGAAATGCAGTCAAGATGAGGATAGTGGTTGGTGAGGCGAGGTGAAGATTGTTTGGTGGATGAGAAAGTCAATTTACAGTCAAATCTAAATTTGAACAGTTGCAACTTTGGGTGCACACAATCTTATACTTAATGCATAGTGCATTTGAGGTGCCGGTCCTCCCTTGCTCATCTGGGACACCATAGCACAGCAACCCAGCCAAGTGGAAGACTATTTCTGTGGATCAAGCACTGGGCATAAAGCAATTGGTCAAAGGGCCACATTGTACCAATATAAGTGTGCATCCTATTCTATGCCAGTGAAAACTGGTGGGATCTAAAAATCTGTCACAACTCTCAATCACAGGGCAACCTCTACTCTATTGTAACCTGATTCTGTGGAGACAATGTCATGGCATCACAGTTACATAGTGTGCAATGCAAGTTGGATGATCTGAAGAGAGCAATGATACAAATGTGCACCACGATGTTTGAATCATTCAAACATCCCTGTCTTGACATTACTTGTCTGGTATCTTGTTCCAAGTGTAGTGGAACAAAAAATGTGTGTGTTCCAAGTCATATACTCGCACAGTTTGGATACTTTCAAAGATGTCAGCGTCAAAATTTCCCTGAAATTTCGGGTGCATAAATAAAAGGCTTGCCTACCTGTCTTGTTATGACTCCACCCAGGCCACTTGCCAGATTATTCTGAGGCTCAACACGTGGATACAGCAAAGCGTAAGAAGGATGGGATAGAAAACCCTGATGAAGGGCTATACAACTGGAATAAAATCATTGATGAATGGAATAGTGATTGAGAAGACGCGGAACCTGAAAAGGTACTCAGATTCACATCTACAAAAGATTGAGAGTTTCATCATATACCATCTGCAAAGTGAACCTGGCCTGTGATGTCAAAAAGTTACGTTCAAAACGACCACCTATGCGTCTTTATTGCAGCAACACAAACAACACGATTAGAACAAAACAACTCAACAAAAAAAATCAGTACACACAGAACTTATAATAATCAGTAGGACATGAGCAATACCTAAACAAGCATCATATATATATATATATATTTTCTACTTCAATCATTCATTGATCATTCACATTCAAGCTTTAGCTAGGTCGCCAACTCATCCTGAAGTTGGTTACTCTCTACGAGATGGGTGACGTGGTAATTTAAAGGTTGTAATGTGATTCATGATAAAACGATTCAAGTGTTTTCAATGAAACAATAAAGGAAATTAGATGGTATGATTGAAAATGATTCTACAAGAGAAAAATAGAAAGCAAAACAAAAACAAAACATACACATCTCAAACCAACGCACAACATCAATCAACGAAAGTGTTTGAAAATACGAAAATAACAACCGTAGATTGTTCCATAGCATCACTCATACTTTGATTTCTGCGAATATTTTACCTTATTGAGGACGGAAATTATCAAATTCACGTACAGTCAAACCGGAAAAGCTTGACCGATTTTGCCCGCAAAACTCGAGCAAATTGGCGGGGAATTGGTGGCAAGCTTTTCCGGTTTGACTGTATTACTGTCGTTCTCGAAAAGCTTGTCCGAGTTTTCCCGCAAAACTCGAGCAATTTTGCGGGAAAACTTGGACAAGCTTTTCGAGAACGACAGTAGTAATGAGGATGTTTTCAAATGCAACAGCACTTGCAAAGCAAGTGAAAAATTAATCAAAAACCCAAATTCGTGTGCTGACCGTTCCAGGGAATCATATAGTTTAAGATGGGATGCGATTCAGCTGGTGGGCGCGAACTCTGGAAAAAGGTAGCGCCCAGGAGCGCCCATACAGGCTCCCGGCGCTACTTTTTTGGCAGGAGGCGCGAGAGGCGTGAGAAAATTAAAAAAATTAAACAAGATGGCTAAAAAGCAGTTTCTATTATGATTCTAATCGGATGGGTTTTCTTTGAACTAAATAACAAGGTCATCTGCGCTCCAATCTTCATCATCAATATCTTCATCTTCATTGATGGTTTGTACTTTAGCTCTATTACTTACAATAGTAGTGAAATTAGAAATGTCGAACAAAGTTTCAATAAAGCCAGAGTAGGCTACCTCTATATCCATTTCTGTATGTGAGTCATGCTGAGCAAAAACTCCATCTTCAAATTCTTGCAATTCATCGACTCCGGAGAAGATACCTGATTCAACCTCATCTTCATAGTTAACAATGCTGAGATCCTTGACAGCTGGATCCACAGCTTCCTCGGCTTTGATCTGGAGCTCGAGCTGTGATATCATTTTAAGATTTGTTACAGTCATCCGACTACGATTCTTGGTTTTTGTTGCACCCATCATGCTGAATACACTTTCAACACCTGCTGCGTGCGCCACCAGCTCAAGTACTCGGATGGCGAAGGCTTTGAGGATAGTTGTATTTGGAGTCGAGCGAATCGCTAGCCAGTAGTTCATGGCTACAGAAACCATAGTAGTTGGTTGAAACAACCCTTCGCCGCTGAAGTATTGTATTATTTGATTCTTAAGACTGAGTGCTTCAGATTTCTTGTAGCTCCATGTCTTGGCGATTGAAAGTATCAACTTGATCATGGCATCTATTGGATATGCACGTGAGACAGCGACTTGAGAATAAGAGGGATTGAGAAAGAATCCAGCGATGTAAATTGGCTCGTTGAATATCTTTGCTTGCTCGTTCAAGACCTTGAGACAATGAGATTTGTAAAGAAGGAATCGTGGATAGCTCGATAAGTCAATCTTCAGTAGCTGATTGTAGACTGTGATGATCTCTTTCCAAATGTTGCCTACTGAGGTATTCGCTTGCTCTAATCTACTGAGAGCATCAATCACCGGTCGGATTAATTTTACTAGGATCGAGTTTGAAGTGAAGTGATCTCGATTCTCGATAATGACTTGTACATTCTTATTGATTGTTGGAGTCGAGATTGAGTTGTCTTTCAATAATGAAAGACACATTTGAAAACCTCGTTCGTGGCTTTCGACCGATAATGCAACCTTTGACATCGAATGCCATCGAGACTCGCAGAAGGTTTGGAGTCCGTGTGTTATGCCTTCTTTCATACGCCACTTGAATAGCTTCTGGCTCCAGAAGTGAGATGAGCTGAAGAAGTTGACAATGGTTCGGTCGTTGTTTGCGGTGTCCTTCATGTCCGGGTGGTCAAGACACTTCTTGACGATGAGATTAAACACGTGTAAACAACACGCTAATGGGATGACATGAGGATACTCTTCTCTAACGAGTCTCTGTAAAACCAATTGGTGATGAACAAAAAACTCTCAGCCTTCTAAGCATCACAAGAAAAGAAGAAATGAGGAAGACAAAAAAGAAATATATCAAGTACTTACTCGTAACTTGACCATTGAACTGGGTGAATCAGTGACAATAGCTCCTATCTGCTCCCAGGTGACATCTTGCCCGTGTAAAGCAGTTTTCAAAGCAGCCAGGATGTTGTCTGAAGTATGTCGGATCTCATCCAAGTCTAGAACATCAATAAGCTTCTTGATTCGGGTACCACGTAAAAGAAGGACAGCATAGACACTGTTTCGGGAGCAGTCAGTCCATCCGTCTAATGAAATAGTCATATTGCTATTCTGCTTAAGTTCCGCTTTTGACGCAACTGCATAACGAGCATGAAGTTGTGGAAGAACTTTGTCCATCATAACGTATCGTGAGGCTGGAGTGAATGGAGCAATTGAGAGTTTCTGTTGAAATTCGAGAAATGATTTGTTATGGAGAAATCGAAAAGGAATATGGCCAGTAATGAGTGCTTTGAGTAGATCTTCATAAATTTTCATATTTTCTTCTGGTTTACGGATACTGAAATGATGGAGATTTGAAAAATCATGATCAAGTTTTGGTCGCTTTAAAATGGAAACAGGTGCGGGTGTTGATCCAGTTGATTCTTCTGGTGTCGTATTCAGTGGTTGTAGTGCAACTTCAAGATTGATTTGTTGGTAATTAGATCTTTCGTGTATTGAAATGGATTTACACAATTGAGTCATATGGTGATATAATTTTGGTGGCTTCCCATCCATTTCTAACTTGCAGAATTTACACTTTGCACGGCGTTGTCCGTGGTGGCGAATGCTGAAAGCTTTGAATCCAGTCCATTTGTTACCGCTACCTGAAGGAGGCTCAATCCACGTTGCTTTAGGTGACATAATTGATAGGTGAATGAATAAAGGTGCCAACCCCAGCGCTGATAGAGTGGGAACTCCTTGAAGGTGGGCGTGAGAAAGGGTGGAAACCTCCTTTTCTCACCTACTTAGGTTTGAGGGCGCTCCCACCCCTTTTTTCAAAAAAAAACCCGCGCCCGGGAGCGCCGCTCCCAGGCGCTGCTCAGGGCGCCAAAATCGCGCCGCGCCCACCACCTGAGATGCGATGGGCTTCTATTCGACATTTGAAGAAATTCCAACATCATTCAGACTCTGGATCTTGGCTGCGCAATTCCAATTTGGCGTTGAATCTATCTTCATGCGTACAAACGTATGAAAAATCATCTCAGTTAAGTACAGCTACTAAATATATAAAAGGCATAAAAATACAAATTTGTGTCGCACCGAGATTTAATACAAAAGTATAAAACCTGTTAAATCCGATCGAAAGTGACAGGTCTCCCGCAAGACATTGCTGAATTGTGTCCAAAACTAGGTTTAATCTAGTTTTGGGCTCTCAGATTTTACTTCGGGTGCATCACACAGACAAAGAATTCTGCCGTTTAATTCTTTAACGGCTGTAAATGATCTGAAGTCTCCATTGGTGCTCTAGAAATTGAGCTTCATTTATCTTTTCTAGAAGATCGCAAGGTCTTTGAATTAAATGCATAACTGTAATTTCTTGAATGGCTGTACTTGCTCTACTCAATGTGAAGGATATGGTTCAATCCAAGTTGAACTCTTTCTACGAATTGGATTGTAATTTATTTATGTAATTGACTGAAAGCCAACTTTTCTGCAATCAACTCCTCGAATGGGTGATCTGATCACACCACAAAAATATCAAATTATGTATTTGTTTTATACCAAATATAGAAATCTTTATATATAACCTCTGAAGCTGAATTAAAGACCCACTCGCTACCTTGCGATCGATCTTGTATCTCCTCGCTCGTTTACAATCTATTTCCTCATCGCAGCTCTGCTTTAATTTTCACCCCTGGCAACCCCACACATCGAGTTATCAAAGATCCTCAATCGATTAATCAACCAATCACTTCAACATCCCCAATTTACATACTAAAAAGCAAATCAATCACCCATAATGCCTCATCTAGATCTATCAAACGATTTATCCATGTACTATGAGATGTTCACATCAAGACCAGATAATCCTTGGATCTTACTCATTCATCCATTGTTAACTGAGATTTCAGTGGTTAGAAGTTTTACAGAACAATCAGAAATTAAAGAAAATTTCAATTGTATCCTTTTTGAACTTAGATTACATGGTAGAACTAAATCTAATGTGATAGCTACAATGGATCGGTTTACTTTGGCTGCTGATCTTGCTTTTGCAATGCAAAAACTTCATTTACCACCAGTTTGTGTTTTTTATTTCTTATTATTACTTGAATTCACTCATTCTGATTTGAACTTTTGATTGTGTTTGTTTGCATCATTCGAAACATTAGGTTCATGTGATCTCAGCTCAAGCGAACGTTAGTGAAGTAGCACTCGCACTGGCTGCAATCTTTCCAGAAAGAGTTTCAAGTCTTTTTCTCTGTGGTTTAGCTCCAGATGTATAGTAAGTATTTTCTACTTTGAAAGATTTCTTAAAAAAAGATATGTCTGATTGATTGATAAATATGATGGCTTTCTTTGTTATCTTTCCTTTTTCAATACTAGTCCTGAATCAACTTTGTCAGCTTTCAATGATTGTTTTCAATGCGTCGCGAATCCTACTGATCCAGAGCATTGGGAAGAGGTCAGTTCTAGATTGTCTCACACTATAGAATTTATCAAAAATGACACGTAATCCAATTTTATTGACTTTTTGCTCATCTGTTTTAGGGTACGTGTGAATTCGCCATTTTAACAACGAACGAAAAAGTTGTCGTTTTTTAAATCTAACCATTCATTTTCTTCTATGTTGTACAAAAATTATAAACCCCTTTTTCTTAGGAATGCTCGATTTACACTTTTTTTGTTTTCATCAAGACACAAATGTCAGTCGAGAAGACGAAATCAGAGTGATAGATGAATGGACCTCAATTGTGAGGAAACGATATTCACCAAGTAAAACTGGTAAATTCACTTCAATTGCAATGTTGGAATTAGGAGTCAGTCATCTCTCTCGCTTTATTACGATCATAAATTGCCATCTAATTTTCATTGTTTTTCATCCGGGCATTTTTGTCTTCTTCTTAGCGTCAAGCAACACCTCAATCATTTCGTGATTGTATTACTCAACCAGTCTTGGTCTGCCATGTGAGCAATAAATTAATTAGGATTTCAAGAGAAAAATCATACAACTAGAAATCATCACTAGTCTGATTGCAAGGGAATCGTCTTTGTTTTGCGCTTCTGCACATTTTCTTGCAGGGAGCCGAAAGTCCAGTATTTCCTTTGGAAGCAGCTTCTGATCGATTTGCAACTTATGATAAATTAGATCCTCGTAGTCGATTTGAAGCTATACCAGGTAATCAAAGTCACCTTCACTAAAACTCAACTTTCATCAAAACTGATCATCAATTTTGTTTAACTTGAACAGGAGCACCTTTGACTCTATTCCCATTATATACGAAATTCTTAGCAGAAAAGTTTACAGATTGGATTTTACCTATCATTGAATCAACACCCAAATTGAATGAAAAACAAGAAATCATTGAGATTGATTATGAAAAGAGTTTAAAAAGGTTATATGAAATTTGTAAAGATCCTACGATTTTAAAAAGAGATCCCACCAATTCTTCAAGTTTTTATGCATTAGATGAATTAAGTTTAACTCAAAGAAAGATGGGATTAGAACACGCTTTTCAGGTTGAAAAAACTTCGTTTTGTTTTATGGATGAAAATGATCCTGAATGGTGGTCTGATGAGACTGTGAAAACTCAAAGTACCAAGATTCCTTGGAAGTAAGTCATTCATTATTCTCATCTTATCCTTACTCTGATTAGTATTTTGATCAAAAGCTTATAAATGATATGCTGGCTTGATTTTCTTTATGTAGGTTTTCAACTCGATTCGAACATAGCTAAGATGACGGACGATTAGGTGTGGATCATCGTGATGCCAGGTTTCAATTCATTCATTCTAACTTTCCTTCCATCACTCGAACAATCATGTTCAATAGTTTCTTCATATATTTCAGTATTTTACCTATGAAACCTTCTTGAGGAATATGACACATAAGCCAGATAAAGACGTCAAAGACAAAGTCGGAGAGAAAATTGTCGGATTTTCTCTATAATCTCTAATCAAATCCTCTTGTGATTTCATAAACTTTTCTTCATTTCTAAAAAAAATCAACTTTGCCTTGCATAACGAAACAAATTTGAATGACAAATGCGAACTCCAATTGATTTACAAGAATTAGACTGTTGATAAATTTAAAACAGAAGTTTTAAAATCATGCAAAGCTAATTTAGCATTACCAGATTCTAAACTAATCTTGGCCAAAGAAACCCCTTCTTGAAGATCCAAAGCTTTACCCCCAATAACCAAAAGAGCAGCCGAGTTTAACAAAACAAAATCTTTAATAGCAATTAATCTATTAGAATCGATTTGATTATTCAATAAATCGTTTAATAAACTTGAATTTTCATCAGCTTGACCTCCGATCACATCTTGAAGTGAATGAGTTTGAATCCCGAAATCTTTCAATGGTTCAATAACCGATTCAGTGATGATCCCATTCTGATCAACTTTCCAAACTTGAGTAGGACCAGAAGGACTGATTTCATCTAATCCTTCTTGACCACAAACAACCCAAGAAGGATAAATCTTCAAATTGACTAAAGTAGATGAAATGATCGGTCCGAGTTGAGGTTTAGAAACTCCAATTAAAATTCGATTCGGTTTACTTGGATTCAAAAGTGGACCTAATAAATTGAAGATTGTTGGGAATCCTAATGATTTTCGTAATGGACTTAAAGTTTTAAAGATTGGATAAAAACTAGGCGAGAATAGGAATGTAAAGTTGGGTGGATTGGAGGTTGATAAGATTTTACTTATATCTTCGTTTGATAAGGTTGGTAATGGGATTCCTTGTGCGATGATCAAGTCTGCTGAACCTGTAGAAGATGATGAAGCTCGATTGCCGTGCTGTGATGAAGATAATGATCGATTGTCAAATCAGAATACGTTTATTGAGAACCATAAAGACAAATAAAAAATATTTCAAACACATACCTTACAAATCTTCAGACCAGCACCTGCAGCTACAATAGCAGAAGCAGTGGAAACATTAAAAGTATTAAACCCATCACCACCAGTTCCAACAATATCACAGATAGGATCAACTTCCGAAGAATCGGGTCTTGGAAACGATAATTGTTTTGACCAATTTCGTTGAATTTGATTGGCAAAAGTTGATAAGATTTTATAATCTTGATCTAATCCAGTCACCGAAAGAATTCCTAATAAACTACCGATTTGAGTGACTATGTCTAGATTTTGAATGTTTTCTTCCTTAATTAATGATAAGATTTTTTTTATGTTTTCTAATTGAACCTCTGGGATTGTGGTTGATTGATTTGAATGATAAGTTTGAGCAAATGCTAGGATCGATCTGAGTAATGGTTTGATCGTTTCAGTTGACATCTTGATATTTCTTTTACTTCTCGCAATGAGGTCGATTTATACACGATTTTTTGATGTTTTGTTCAATTTTGATATCGGTTCAAGAAAAACTACCCTAGACTTCTGTTGTAGAGACAAAGAATACGTTATGATTCCGGATTGGTATTTCAGCAAGAGCTTTTCAGGTTGGTAAATCGATTCTTATGCTTGGTATTTTATCTTCAAGCAGAATTTATTTTTCCCTTCGAGGGTAATTTATCAAAACTTGTCAAAGTTTCACGTGGTTTGAGAGGTCATTCGGTTCCCTTTCCGATCCGGTCGAAGTTAGCAATGAAAATGTTGTACTTCACAAAGACACTTGAATGTTTTTGGGATATCCTATCTTTTGCACAGGGAAGGACATCCTGACCCGGTCTCATGCAAGGCCCCATCTTGTCTCGGACACCACCGCAGGGCCATTCAAGATGTCTTCGGACTGCTCTATAGTGGTCCCATTCCAAGGACATCTTTGACCTCCGCCATTAGGATGTCAGCAGAAAAGATGCCCTCAGGAGAGCTTGATTTATTTTCATCAATCCTGGTCTTGATATCTTCTTCATCCCTCTTTTACAATCATTCATATTAATCCTGTCAGTCAACCATTTTTTACTTTGCTCTTGAGTTTTTTTGAGCTGAATCTTACGCCCGCAAGCAGGGTATATGTATCCTAGTTCTTATAAAACAATACAAGTTCCAATGTGAAAGATGAAAATCTTTGGTTTTGATTCATTTTTTTACTTTCTTCTTGAACAAAAAAAACCAATTCAATGAACAGAAAAGCAAGCTATACATCAACATTATTTAACTAGAAAAAGATAAACAGAGCAATGTAAACAGAAAACTATGATCAAGTTACAAAGATATGAAAGAAATCTGTGTGAAAAGTAGAAGTGAAAGAAAAAAGAACCCGGTATTTGATGAACTGTAAATAGTAGGTGGAATGAAGAAGACAAAGAATGAAGACGATCGTGTGTTTGCTATACATATGAAAGAACATAAAGTAAAATTGAGCATCAACTTATGGTGTAAAAATCAACTCTTGTTTATATACAAAGCATTTCTAAGGGAGAAAAAAAAGAAAATAGTCACGAGTCGGAAAAAGAGCCCAATCCAAGATATGAATAAATTAAATAAACCCAACCAGCGTGTTGTCCCTTCTTTTATCCTTCCTCACAGAAAAACCAATCGAATCAAACATTGAATTCTTTTACTAGGTTTGAATTCTTTGACTACTGATTTCTATTAGCCAAAGTAGGCACAAGGATTTCAAATAATTGAGCTTCACGTGTTCTAAAAGCCTCAATTTGACTGATTTTCAATCCAAGAGTATTAATAGCATTAGAAGCGATTCTAACATCCGATTCAGGTTCGATTTCATAGGTACCTAATTCTAATTCAAGTTTTAATTGTTCAATTTTAGTTAATTCATTTTGATTAGAAGAATCATGAGAAGCATTAATGATGGCCATTCTTGTATCTTCATTCATTAAATGTTGGGTAAGACTGCCAATCCTAATCAGTTCAAACATTAATGGTTTCAATCGATTTGGACAATCATTTAATTTCAAACTTGTAAAGTGTTGAGAAGCATCAAGTTTAACGACTTCTACTGTTTCTTCGTCTGTATTGACTCGGTTGATTGAAACATCTAATAATGCTAAACAAAGTGCAGCAAAATATGATCTTGATAATTCTCCATCTGTACTCTCTTCGGACTCTAGTTTCTTATAAATCGTTGGGGTCGAATAAAGTATATCGGTCAATGAAGCATAAATCGTTTCTCGAATGATTGCAAGTCTGAATTGTTGTTCTGGTGAGAGTTCTTCATTCGGATCATCATTCATCGGTGGATTACTTGTGGGTCTGGGTCTTGTAGGTAGAGGTGGTGAAAACGGTGGTACGTTTGTTTTCGGATTCGGAGGATTTATATGTGAGTCTCCTTGATCATCGTAAGCTGGAGGTGGAACATATTTAGCTGACAAAGGTTTATTGGTCTGAGAACCATGTTGTAGTGCAAAATTTAAATCTTCAAATTTCAAAAATCATATATAATCAGGGATCGTTATTGAAGTTGTTTAGTTTGAAGCCAATCTTTATTTCAATGATGAAATGCCGCATACCTTGATTGAACCGTTCTTGAAACGTACGTCTCTGTGAAATTTCAATGGCAATAGCTCTTAAATTCCGAGCGATAATAGGTAGTTGAATATTAATAGGTTGAGAGATCGGTTCTTGATCACAAATAATCCTAGCCAAGTCATGCTGATGATCTTTGTTTAGTGATTTGATCACTGGTATCGATTCTGACCAAAGTGTAAACCATTTCTTAAATGAACTCGGACAATTGTTTTGATCTAATTTGATGGAAGTGGTACAAATCGATGGAGGTTGGGTTTGGGTTCTTAAAGCAGCTAAGAATAGACAAATCGATGGGCCTATGATTTGGATATCGTCTTGTGCTGATGTTAAAATTGTTGGATCTAGAAGCCTTTCTACATGAGCTTGGGCTAATGCTGCCTTTGATTGATTACAATGTGAAGTTTGGTTAGTTCATTGCGCTTGAAAGCGCTTGAGATTAGATTCTTACTAACTTGTAAGAACGAATGAAAGGCAATGATGACCTGTTAGATGAGGCGATAAGGAACATCTTAGTGATCTTTCCAAAAAATACCATTTGAGTCTGAGTCTGAGATATTGACTTACTTGTTCCTCAGTGATATCGGTAGTTTGAAGTGTCATCTTCGTTTTCGTTTTCGTTTCGGTTCTCGAATGAAGCTGTGTTGTATGTATTGGTGATTTAGGAGAGACTGAGTTATGTAGTGGATGGTTTAATCTGAGATTTGGCAAATGCTGAGCTATGCTGAGGGTTAAAGTTCGATCGGAACCAAAAATCCAAAATGAAATCGACTAACTTTAAGGATTTACAACTTCAAAAGCCCCATTTCCTAAATTCTTCTTCGTTCTTCTTGTGCAGAGTTCACCCTTCAAACATATCTTGATACAAAAATTTATGTACACCCTCCCTCGCATTCCCAGTCCAATTTTCCCAAGATTTCATCCATCACTGGGATGTTCAGTCCCAATTCGTGATTAATGAGGATTAATGACTCTGATGGATGAACTATACCTTGTGAACAAAACTCACAGTGGTATTTTATGATATGAAATTGATGGCCCTCCATATATACTCTCATATCTCAAGCACAATGTTTGACAAATATTCTTGCCCATCTGGCATCTATACTCCACATCTCTTCAATCCCATCTCAAATCTTGAACAATTCACATATTTAGTCGAGTACCATAAAAGCACTTGTTATTCCTGTTGAAGTTTCACCTGTGGCAAAAAATATGTTTGGATATCAATAATAGGTTCAAATAACATACATATGCCTGCTGAATTCTTTCTGTCCCTGACCACAGCCTCTATTAAGACTTGTCCTCTACTTGTTTCTCATTCAAATTCCATTTGTCTTCCAACTTTCTTTTGACTTCATTGATTAGCTTAATATTGTCCAACTGCAAATCCTACCCCGTCCCATATCCTCGCTGTCCGCCAAGACATATTTTGTTTTTACCTACCTACATGATCAACTTTACCACTTCTTTCTCCTTTTTTCATTTCATCAAAGATTTTTTGGTTTATTATATTCCTGTCTTACTCACTAGCATTCTTGAACACAATCAGTCTTTCACACCTTATCTTTGCTACATTGTTCCAACCATCGCCTCTTCTGTGGTCGTTGGTCTATATAATCCAGAGCACTTTTGATATCCGTACTATTAATCCTTATTAATCAGAAAACAATTTTGATCCCATCTCATATCAGTTTACTAAAGCTCGCTCCATGAGAGACTTGATCAGCTTATACGTAATATGTACCCGTCTAAGGATTTCTGGAGTGCTTGCAAATAGTGCTGTATTATAGTACACGTCTTGTATGAAGTGCAAACAGCTCAGTCAAAGGTAGAATAGCAGTCGACTCACGTGGGTCGCCCGCAGCACCCAGCGAAGCATGATGATTTTTACGACCTTTTCTTCCCTTTTGTAAATAGTCAACTGTTGAATATATATTTCGACATACGCACACAGCCATTGTTCCACTTCCATTCTCCACAAGGTGCTCCACATATTCATACCAACGTTAATGATGGCAGCCATACCTGAGACACGTTCGGTGACGGTGAGTCAAGATTCCAACCTCTGATGATCGATCGTACTCAGTTGTTTCCCTATCTTTGTCTCAACCCTCAGGCGAGCGGAAACTTCGATAATCTGGCTCAGTTTCTCAGCTTCGATGGGCCCAGTGATCTTGTTCATCCCAAAATGACTTATGAGCACCGCCTATATCACCCACGTCGCCACCCAGCGGAGCATGTGTATCACACGAGCTGCCGCCATCGATTTCGCCTACAGAGACGAACAACCAAAACGGTGGCGGCTGAATCCTCAATGATCCAAGCATCTTCAGATGAAGGACAAGAAACGGTTGTGGACGAATTGGTCATCCATCTAAGCGATTCAGTCCAAGAGATGTATGCTGAGTGGGGAATGTATTGGGAAGTGAGTAGCTTCTACCCTATGGAAGCACGTGTTGTTTGTTCACTCGACTTTCTTCCGATACGAGCACTGTCCAGTTCCGCATCCCTGTCAGCGACACCGATGACCACCATGATCCATACGTCACTTATGGCCACAAAGAATCTGGGTTCATTAGTGAACACTTTGTCTCGTCGCGCAGCAACCCAGTCGAGTGGAAGACAATCACTGTGGGAAACGTAATGGACATACAGAAGTTGCTTGCAGGAAATCATACTGTCGAGGTATGCATTACGCGTGCAAATGTAGACAAAATACTGAATGTTGATCGCAAAACTTGCCATTAAAGGACGCACTGGAATTCACAGTAAAGTGGTCCCGACAAGAGCCATCTTTGTCCGAGTTAGATCATACTCAGCGGGAGTTGGCTAATCTGAAGAGACTGATGGCGCGAACACACTGTACATTGCTTACAACGTTCAGACAACCTTCGATTGATACCACTCGATTAGTCTTTCGTTCAAAACGCAGCGGGACTCTCAAATATTTGTATGTCCCAAGTCACATACTCACACAATTTGAATACTTTCAACCATGTTAGTGCCAATCTGTGAATTTCAAACTGTGTGTCCGTCTTACCAGCTTAACTGATTAGATTATTGTGAGTCTACCCAGGCCACTCGCTAGAATATTCTGAGACTCAACATGTAGATAAAGCCAAGCGTAAACGGGATGAGGTAGAAAAACCTAGTGAAGGGCCATACGGTGACGATTCTGATGACGAATGGGATAGTGATTCAGAAGATGTTGAACCCGAAAAGGTACTCAGATTCGCAACAATTCAACATCGATCCTTTGTGACTCAAAACTGCTCCTTGTGATCACAGAATATTACTTTCAAAGCAACCATTCATGTCACGGGCACCTCGTAAGTAATTCTCTCCTGATATACATGTGGCAGTGCTTGTCTCTTAAGATACGCATTGTGATATCGTAGTCGACAGACATATCAAGCATTCATAGATTATGCCATCTGCGGGTCAGTGAAGGTCACCAATTTCAAGACCGAGTGAAATTGCGCACTGTGCTTCAGCTTGCTAATGTATTATTTTATATCATAATTAGAGCTCTTTACTTTGCACCCCTGCAATATGAATACCAGCAATACCGCAACAACCTGCGAAGTTCAGCCATTGGTCGTTTGCCTAAAGAGCACTGTATTCCGTGGCCCGAGTGGGCCGAAGAAAACTGCTACCCCCAAAGAGTTGTACCAGGTTTCAAAACTCTCACAAGCTCAAAGAGTATGTACCGCCTCGCCGACAGTAAGTCTTAACATATCATGTTGCGCTATAAAAAGCAATGTAGCAAGGATCTCTGACAAACATTACCATGACAATACTAAGTGTTGATCATTCCCCAACTTAAACATTTATGCTACCAGCATATCATCGACTCTCTACAACCGGACACCGTATTATCTGAACTCAAGAGCCCGGTTTTTATGCATCACGAGGAACTGCGTGTGGCAGCCTATAAATTCATGCGCGGAAACTGGCATTGTTTTGATAGCTCAGAGATTGCTCCTTTCATTGTCAGTCTTTCACAAGCCGAGGCTGTTCTGGTTTTCGAACACATACTCAGCGATATTGCTTCGTGAATTTCTTAAAATTGTCCCCCTTAAATCATTGTTTCTGAATCCTTGACTTCAGTTGGTTTCCCAACATACATATTGCTAGCCGAAAAGAATCATAGCACAATCTCTTTTGCTTATGAACACCATTCTTCTTTCCTGTTCCCATACCACATGAGATGTCAAGGTCAAGCGCAATGACCGGGATAAAGTCAGTATTTTTGTGATTTCAAGCTGAGACTTATTGTATACTAGAGCTTGCGCGGGCAAGCCCGCCATGAGCCTTAAGGGCTACAGTCATGCAAAAGAGGACCAACTTTTACTCACCTTGAGAATGGAATGTAATCTCTCAGCAAAAGGCAAGATTCAAGATAAATGAGACGTCAATTGAAGTAACCCCTTTGAGATTGTGGTTACAACAAAAGATTGGATACTGGATTAATTGGAGGAACAAATAATAAGCTCAAACGCGAACTTGCATTACATGGGAGAGAACATATAGGAAACAAATGAACTGCATTGTTCAAAATTGTGAGGGAAATAAAAGTGTGAAGTATGAAAGAAAAAATGTCATTTGCGGGGTAACAAAAGCAAAGAAATTGGGATTGGGATAAAAAGTTGATTTCTTCATCCAAAGGCGCTATATGCCAATAGACATGGAACAAAGGTTCACTTAGGCGCATATGAGACCAACCAACTTGAGTATGAATGCATTTGAAAAAAAGTGAAAACAGCGCGACAGATTCAATGTTAATGCTTTTGTTTAGACATATTATATCATATATGCAACACTCGGATGAGGCAGTTGGTAGGATGGCGAGATAGAGGACGTGCAAATACAACTACTGTGAATGTCGAAGAGAATGATGACGTGTTGTGGATGGATTGGGAAAAGCATAACCTTTGAAGATGATGTCAAATAGTGTTAAACATTCATCCAACTTCTCAACTGGTGAGGTACAAATTGTCGAAACCCATTACTGTTAAACAAAAGAACAGCTGAAAGATGTCTACTTCTAGAAGTGGATTGTTGAATGGGATAAAGACTTAAAGAGGAAATTGAGGATGGTGTGCATCAAATGAGATCAGATGCGGTCATAACATAGGTGAGTAGTTTGTTACATGAAGGCAATGTAGCAAGCTTTCATCTGGGATTGATCGCTTTTGAGTTACAGTCGTTTTCAAAAAGCTTGCCGCTAATTCACCGCCAAATTGCTCGAGTTGTGCGGGCAAATTTCGGCAAGCTTTTTGAAAACGACTGTAGTTCCGATGTCTAGTTTAAGAGTCGATTGGATTGAATGCAGTCACTCCAGATTGCTTTTATATCATGACGTAGGTGATTAATATTACACAAAGACAATGTAAAAAGATTACTCTGATGATGGATGCTTTTGAACAGTCGACAAAACCTGGTTTGACGGTTTGAATGTAGCAAAAGCCCATTTGATGATCAATTGATCCAACGTAGAAAAAAGGAAAAGCACGACCAATTCAAGTTACTTTTCAAGAATGACGTAACATGACGTTGTGGCTCTTTGTTACACAGAAACGGTATACAAAAGATTTGATTTTAACACTGAATGCTTTTCAGTGTTACGGGCTCAATTTGAGTATATAATTGTTACAAAAGCACACCATGATCGTTTTAAAAGCACACAACATGATCGAGGAAGAGAGTGGAGGAGGAATGTTGGACGCAAATGGGGAACAATAAGTAAAGCAGATAGCGCAGGAACAGTTTGTGAGGGGGGGTAAAAATGTATAAATAGAGGGCAATCTTTCAGCCAAATCAGAAATCCGCATGCCACCCTCGTGACTACACCCTAGAAAGTGAGTCAAATTCGAGCTCTAGCTAAATCTGGTATCCTCCCGCCGAAAGGCTGAAACTCTTTTACAAGTTTCAGTGCTTTCGGGGGGGCATTCCAGATTTAGTTTTAGGAAATGTTCATATTTCTACACATGGTGAGGCATCTTCAGCCAGAATCACTTTGCCTTTTGGCTTTAGGTTTCATACAGCTGTTATAATGCACTATGTCTATCATCTTGGGGAATCAATGGCTAATGTGAGAAGAAGATACTTCAGCTTTTAGAATTACGGTACTCAAAGCAACTATGTACGCGTACATAGTTGCCGTACATAGTTTTTTTTTGGCGGGCGAAATACTTCGAATATACTTCTTTTGTTTTTTTCCCCGCCAAAAAAAACTATGTACGCAAACTATGTACGCGTACATATGTAGCTTTGAGTACCGCAAATGGACAGACTCAAACAAATATGTGTATGTCAAAGCCATGAAATTTTGGCACTAGAGAAATAAATTACCTATATATGCACTGGTTCTCCCAATTCACCTGTACACAACTACATTAGATGAACTGGAATATTAACTATAATTTGCACCCAGAAGCTTTCAAGATACCAGGTGTTTGTAACAATGCTCTCACATACCAAATGTGTTTACAGGTGTCATCAACACCCATAATTTAGGAAAGCAGGTACATGCCCAGCGTTGGGATGTACCATCCAAGCAAGTTGACCCCAAAATGGTACTTGGATTCCTATGTCTACATGCATCTTGAGATCTTCATTTAAACTATTCTGTTGAGAATTCCTGTCCAGAAAAGATTTAATCCATGTGATCATGGAATTTGTTTCTTCCTAGTTGCTAATTTAGTGCTGATATTGTTAGAAATCATAGAACTTACATCTAGACTACACTGGGGACCAATGTGTTTGGCCCTGTGCAACAAGAAAACAATGGGGGTAATGATGCTTTTAATCCTCTGTCACCAAGAAACTGATAAAGGCACCAAGAGTTTTCTTTTACATAATCTCTGCCTGATATCATCTGCAAAAATACTCCTCCATCACCCTCAAACTCCTCCTATGCTGTCACTAGAAGCAGTCCCCAATAAAATACAATATTGTTAGCAATTTCTGGTTTTACAACCAATTTTGATGTCATACAAAATGCTTTTGAGCTTTCAAACCATCTTCTCATAAGTACACAAAGTTGTGTCATACTGTTATACATGGTGATTCTTGTCAGGATGAAAGGCATAAATAGTATCTCTCACGCATCATGATGTGGCTCTCTGATACACTCCTCATTACCAATCAATCTGCATCATTCAGATTTAACTCTTGCCACTATAAGTCAATGTGGTTTTACACTCTTGCCGCAATGCTACTAAAGCCTTGAACTCACACCAAGTTGGAAGTTGTAGATGGCAATGTGGAATGTTCATAACACTTGACTACAACAGGAAGCAAATGCTTTCAGAAACGAGTCATTTGGATCCACCATTTTGGTTTCTTTTTGACCTATCACAGGATTTTTCTGTCCTTTCAGACAAAGAAAATATGGTTCAGATATGTTCTTGGATCATGAATTATTGGCTTTTCAACTGGATACTACCTGGTTTGATTTGCACTTGGAAATTTGTGTTTCAACACAACAACGCCGCCACCTTTACTTTACCATTCTCAGTAAAGTATCGGTATCGTGAGTTTCAGTACAGTATCCAACCACCAATACTTAGTATTGGTATCGGCGATACTGTACTCGCCAGGTCCAGGTCAGGTATCCTGTGACCCGATACCGTATCCGGTAAAGTACCGCGGATGCCAATACTTTACCGGTCAGGCACTCGGGCAGTACCCCAGTATCTGACGGTATCTTTCAGTATCGACATGTATTGACTTATAAGTTACCTCCGACACCGGATTTCACTTTGACTTATACCTTATTTCAATTCACACCTATTCACACCTCCACACCCCTTGCTTCTCCCTTCCGGTTCAGTATCATCTAGTTCATTCGACTTCCATTTCGGTCGACGTTCCATCATGGGACGTCTAACCTCATGGGCTCGACCGTTTTTAGCGCCTTACGTAGTGATGGAGGACGCTATGGTGCCTTTATTTGACAGTTTCAAGGTCCTAGTAAGTGACTATTTCGTATATCTCTTTCCAAAGCAAAGTTCACTCTATCTGATCATCTTCTCAATTTGATTACTTTTTTATCATCATCTTCACTTGCTTTTCCTTTTTCCAATACCCCATCTCAGTATCACAATCCTCCAGTTTCAACTGCGGGTTCCAATATGGCCCTAGGCGTTGCTTCTAATCGACAAACTACCCCTGTCTTGACTTCTGATGAACCATCCTCTACCGTACAGGCTCAGGTTCAACCAGACCATGATGAGCCTTCCAACAATCCACCCCGTCGACACAGCACCCGAATTACACCACTTCGCCGCCCTTCGTCAATGACTATTCCTCCTGCCGACTCTCGAAGATCCATTGTACCATCCGACTCCGAGGCCTCAGTGGATTTAGTAGTGACCAAGAGAAAGCGATGTCGAACCGCAGAATCTGCTCAAAAGTCAATCATTCAATCCAACTCCGATGTCTCCATTGATATTGTCGAGAAGAATAAGGGTAATGGAGGATCTTCTAGGATGTTGGCTGTCTTCGATGCAACTTGCAATAGTATGGGTGTCAAGTTTCCTCAACCTATTCCAGGTTATGGAATTCGATGGAACATCAAACTCCAATGTTGGGAAAGGCTATTCAATGCTCAAGAAGTAAGTTTATTATGTCCTAAATTTATAATTTCATCTACATCATGTTCTAAATTATTATTTTGATCTACATAATAAATTGCAGGTTATCGATAGGATGCTCAAAGATGATCAGAAGGAGGTCACAAAAACCAAAAGCAAGAATCGAAGACCCGAAGTAGGACCAAGTGATCCTGAGACCGCTCAACCCCGTGGCATATTCAACAAAGCTCATGTTTCGCCAGACCAATGGAAGCAAGTTGGTCAACTTATTAAGATACTCCGAGTGAGTTTTTTCATTTGAATCATCTCCTTACGCTGACACTGACTGATCCTTTCCTCACTTAAGGATTTTGAATCTTTAACCAAGGTTTTCGAAGCCGATGCTCCGACTGGTTCACTGGTTATTCGGGAATACGTCAAGTTGAAGAAGTCTCTTCAAGCTAAGATCGACGCGTGCAAATCCTGAGCCGACCCTCTATTCCCGATGTATCACGCCATGCATGCTAGAGTCAAGGCATATCTAGCTGAAGCCCTTCAATCCGATGTCCTAGTCCTAGCCACTGTTCTACATCCCTCCTGGCGAACCGACTACTTTCAGTTTGCTTTTGGCAAAAACTCAGACGAATTCATATCAGCTCAAGCTTTAATAGAAACAGCTTTTGACATTAGACAAAGTAAACTGAACTCGGGCAAGAATAATGAAGGGCACAGTGGTGAGTCTAATGAAGAAGATGAAGATGAAGATGGATTTAGGGCACATAGAAAGAAAGTGCAGACACGCACTGAAAATGAGCTCAGCAACTATTTCGAGCGTGTTGATGAGCCATCTAAAGCCGTAGAGAAGGATCCACATCTTGCTTTAGAATGGTGGAAGGTAACAATATACTGATCATTATTATTTATCATCATTTCTTCTCACATTAAGTACTGATGGTATTTTGATTTCCTATTGCCCAGGTCAATGCTTCAAGGTATCCAGTTTTATCATCCCTTGCAAAAGACTATCTGGCAGTCTGTGGATCATCGTGTGCTGTGGAGAGGACGTTCTCCGCAGCTGCAGATGTCTGCAGCCGTGATCGAGGGGCTTTGAAACCATCAATGGTGGAACGGTCAGTTGGGGCGCGCATCTGGTCTAAGGAGGGCATTGCGATTCAAGGTTTGGACTTTGAGGAGTGTCAATTGTGTATGGCCCACTCTAGTGCCTTGGATAAGTCACACCGAAAGAGGAGGGGGTGATAGTATTAGTAATTTTGCTTGATTTACTTTTCTCCTTTGTTCTTTTCTTTTTGAATTTTTTGTTTTTTTTCTTATCTTGTCAAACACAAGTTGTTTACGAAATCGGCTCTGAGAGCCATATTTGTTTCCTCATCTTTTCTTTACTTCTTATCACTCTTCTCTTGCCTCGTTATGCGGAATGAATGTTTGTGGCTCGGTTATTTTAACAAAGATACCCAATACTTTGCCAGTATCGTACAGTATCTAGCATTACTCCGATACCACGATACGTATTGGTATCGTACCCGGTATCGAGGGTACTATACTCAAAGTGTCCGCCCATAGTACCCTGATAAACGGTACCGTATCCGGTATCGTATCCAAACGGGCGGTACTGTACTGGATTCTGCCTGAGGTGGTATCCTGGAACAGATACTATACCTAGTATCCTCGATACTTTACCAAGTATTGTATCGTGGCGGTGTTGAACACAACTTCTTACTTTCTTCTGCTTTCCTATCTTGTGAAAGCCTTGGAACATGGTCTCAAGATGGGACAATACAAATAGGTCCAGAGTCTGTTCTGGATCTAATAAAGGTTCACTTGAGATAGAAGTCTTCTTTTCAAAGATTAGGAATATTGAATATGTACCCAAAGATGGGAAATAAAAGTAGGTGTTCCTTGCAGAATTTCCAACCAACAAAGAGGTCTCAGAAGATTTATCAATTGCCTATGAGCAAGCAAATCAGCTTGCACATATATGTGGAATGAACTCAGTCAATTCTATCATTGAGAACACTCCAGGCTTGAATCTGGATGAATTACATGAACATTCACCTCAAAATTTATCAGGTACCCTGATTTTCCTCATTTTCCCAACTTCTACTGACATGTAAATATTGAATCTTAGATATATCAGTTTGCACCACTCAACACTACAATGTTGAATACGGATACACAGCTGGTAACCTTTGCAAAAAGAAAGTGCTTGGAGCAGCTGCACATCTACTCAAGGAACAGAATGCCATAGATATGTTTTGTGAAGCCTTGCCTGAAGATGCTGAAAGTGAATGCTTGCAGAATGCAGCAATGTCTATATCAAATCTTCTCAATCCAGCATGTAAGGACCTTTCATATATTATTTCTAAGGTTTTCACCACACTTTACCAACACATTACTCTCTTACTTCTATAGCTGTAGCTCAGAATCATCAAAAATCAAATGACACCAAAAGCAATATAGATATTGGTCCTTTAGTCATTGACATAAAGCTCATTGGCACCAGTCTTGTAGCTATCCAAAAACAGCACGGCAGCAAGGTTCTAAAGCATAAGGGAAATGAACAAGATCTCATTAATCCTGATGAATTATGTTTAGAATTGCCAAGCAAGACTAAGAGTGGTGGTGCTCAAGCCAGTGCTTGCTCAAGAATTATCGCAGTTTGCTTCAAGGACTTGGAAGAAATTCCAACCGGAAAAGCACACCAACATTGCTGGAATATCAATTGCAAGATCAATCTCTCTGGAATTGTCAAAGATCCAGCTATTTTTGGTCAGGTACACTTACAAGGGCTTCTTGACGGTGGAGAAATTAAGCTGTCAAACCCCATCAAACCTGGAAGCTTTCTCATTTTTATCAAGCATCATGTACGTGTGTTTGATAAATTTGGTGATAAAGATTCTAATGTATTGATATCATGTAGACTCTGTACTTGGCACAAACCCCTTTTGTCTATAAGCTTGTCAACAAAAAGCATGCATTTGTGACAAGTACAGATGCAATGAATGGTCTGTCACACATTGTGGTTCAAATTTATTTTTACAACCCTGCTTACCCAGTTATAACACCAACTCAAGGCGTGTTGTCCACTGAGTTGACATATTCTCTGTTAGATGCTACCAATGTAGTTTATGTTTTTGAGCCTTTTGCAGGCTCCACATGCAGTGACACTGGTGATGGTTGCTATATGATTCCAACAGTCATGCATAATATGCTTGGATCTGTACATCTTGATAAGTTGATTGATCACTATTATGATGAATTAGCATACTCTAGATCTGAGCCCAGCAATGGGGATATCTCTGATTAATTTTTAGTAATTAGATACTCAACTTCAATGATTTGTATGTTACAGAACTGATTGGGTTTAACAAAATTATGCAAAGATATCAAATGTTTACCTGCACGTAGTAGAATGTTGCACACCCCAGAACTTCCGTTGTTTTTAAGACAAACATACTTAAATGATGTAAAACAATTGCTTGACTACTTTACTCGACATATGTGCATCTCAAATATGGGATCCAGCAATTAGGCTAGTCCGAGGTTAATATGTTGGATGTGTGGGTTGGTAGCCACCCTGCCAATTTTAAGACTCCATCAATTCTCTGCAAAAAATATAGACACCTGCCAAATTGATACCAGCCAAGGTACAAACTTTCATTGCTGAATGAGACTTATACAAATGATTTTTCAAATTGTAACACTGAGTTCTGTGCCAATGGTGCTTCCATCACATTCACATCAGAAAGTTGCAGGTAAGATGGACCTATTAAGAAAGAGAAATGTGTTCATGTATTTTGGTACGTTTTGATACAGATGAACTTTAGGTGTGTCTAAGTGCTGACACTGAGCTTGTGTTCATGTCACCTATGATGATTACTTTTGCTATGCATTCCAAAGCTGCAAACCGCACAGAGCCTGACACCAAACAAGCAGCAATCTTAACACAATCTTGGAAAACATTTCTCTAACACGCCGGGAGTGTGGAATTTGGACCCTGTGGTACTCACTTTCCTATATCCTACCACGTTTATCATGAAGTCTGAACCCCAATCAAAGTATATCATGGTGAACAGGTTTGTGGTGCTTTAAGATTCAGGTCTTGTTTTCCAGGCGTGGATCATAGTATGTTGCATCAAGTATACTGTATCCTACGGTGTCCTGATAGTAGAGCTTGAGCGCTAGTGAAATATTTGAACATTTGAACTCAATAAATCACCTGTGGATTCTGACCTGTCATCTCATCTTTTTTCATCATTCTTCCCAATGGTCCGATCTTTCAAATGAGATGGATGATATTGGTCAAAAGCCGTTCATTGTAACAACAGGCATGTGTAGATGAGATGGAGCCAAAATGGAGATATTGAAGTGAAGTGTGCCACTGTTTACCCTGGTAAACAGCAAGTACTTAGCTTTGACCAATGTCACATTTGATTCCACATTTTACCCAAAAGTTTGACAATTGTTGGTCCTAATTCCGCACATTTGATATTTTGGGGACACTTTTAGATACGCTTTAGGATGCTTTGTAGTTGATACTGTGTATTCACTTGAGGGAATCAGTGAATGGTCAAGAGACATCAAAGCAGGTATGACAGTGCGGAACCCACTATAGAAAAGATGCGCAACAAAAAAGGTTACACAACAGTTCCTGCCAAAGAGATTAGTCGAGCCAAACTTTCTTTTTGATCTTTTTCTCTAGCTATTGTAGTTGTTCCCAATTTTCACTTCCAGAAACTTAAACGGGTTGAAGCAAAGAGTTTGAAACAGGAAGATTTTTAAGTATGTGATTGAAAACCAGAGCAGCCTCTGCTTCAGACATATTGGCGAGAAAAGGAACGATCTCTGAGCTTTGATATAAATGCCAGGTATTACGCATAAATTTATAGGCGTCCACACGCAATTCCTCATGCTGTTCAAAAACTGAGCTCTGGAGTTCGGATATCACATTTTGCACATGTATGGAATTGCTGATTTGCTGTCGACATATAGCCTTAAGTTGTGGAATGATCAACACTTGGAATTGCCACCATGATTTGCATTAGAGATTCAACTTAAATCTATTTGTAAAGTCAGATATGTGATATTGGGATTTGCTTACTATCGGCCAGGCGGTAGAGACTCTTTGGGCTAGAGGGAGTCTTGAAACCGGGTACGATGGTATAAGGGGTGCAGTAAGCTTCAGCCCATACAGGCCAAAGGGGGAGTGGTGGTAATTGGTCGTTTTCCTCCGCCGGGCTGGAAAGTGCCTTGCAATATACTTGGTATGTAGACCTCAGAGGGGCGAAGTATAGAGCTCTAGATTGGACGTGACAGATCAGATCTACCGGTTGAAGCAGTGTTCCCCATCACACTTTGTTCTGGAAATGATGATCTTTACTGACCCGCAGACTGCATAGTCTATAAAGGCTTGGTATGTTCTTCGACTACAATCTACAATCAGTATCCTAAACAAAAATCACATGCATAGAAGAGAATCACTGACGATGTGCCTGTGACATGAATGGTTGCTTTGAACGTGGCATTCTGTTATAACAAATCAGTTTCACATCATGAATGATTGATTGCAAGTTGTACAAAGAACTACGAGATGTGATTCTACCTTTTCGTGGTTCAACGTCCTCTGTTATCACTATCCCAATCGTCATCGGAATCATCACAGTATAGTTCTTCGCTAGTTTTTCTATCTCATCTCTTTACGCTTGT